CCCCCCCAAAAAAAACAACAAATATGAATTCTGCTAAAAACTTTACTTCATGGTTTTGAGTAGTATACGGTATATGTTGTATCCTTTTGTGTTGTTCTTCGATGGGACAGGGGTCCCAAGTCTCTGGCACCGTTATTGTGGGAGTCACGAGCTGAAAAGTTTGGGAACCCCTGAACTGAGCTGTGAGAGTACATTTAAACAAAGAAAAGGAAAAAAAAACTGTTAAATAATAATGAGTCTTTTACTTGCTATAAAATATTTAGATTTGACTCCGAAGATTAAATCTAAATTAACTTGTAGTGTGCATAATAAACAAATGTCTCGATATTCATGGAATATTTATATTTTATGTCTCTTAAAGTAGAGCTCATGTTGCATTTTTTACACTGAAAAACAGAGAGAAATACATTCTGCCAAGTGAAAGTTCCTACATTGTGACCTGGATTATCAGTATCAGATACATAATACACGGCCTGTCTGAGTAAGTACTGTGCACGCCATGAAGATGCTGACCAACAAGGTCAGTCAGTTATTTGCTTTTTAGACAACATATGCGATGACTTTTTATTTCCTCAAGACTCTAAAGACACTCCTATAAACAGCACATAAACATATTGTTAAAACAACAATTAATAGGTGTGAGAAAGGTGTTTTGTATTATTTTGTTCTGCAGCCTGCAGCTTTAGTCTCTAGGTGTGCAGCAGCACACACTGTGGTGTTAAGAGGCAACCTTTAACAGGCTTATGTATTAATCTGCGGTCAGGTGCGTATTTCACCTGCTTCACACAGAGACATACTGTACACAGTGAGAGGAGATGAGTCACACTGACAACACAGACAACCTTCTGTGTTTGTGTGTCCCTGCACACAGAGGGAGAAGGTCACAAAGCAAGTCTGCGTGCATCGTACTAAACAGTTAAACACATTTTGAATCATGTGTCACAGTGTCAGCAGTGCAGGCCCGTCTGTGAGAGAAATAATAAAAACATAATGTGAGGATGTTTCTTTTCCATCAGAGTCTGATCCTGATGAGATTAACAGCTTTATAAAGGCGCCTGCTTTACATGCACGTGTTGCAAATAGACACAGACAGAATATCAATGCATGGTCTGGCTCATCACGTTGCCATAGATACCGGTTCAAAAGGTTGTCTCTAGTCATTTGCTTTTGCAGGTATGGAGATGAAGTTGTTTCCAATCAGGGGAGAGAAGGCATCGCCGGGCCGCAGGAAACATCAGCAGCTCTGTAATGAAAGAGTCACATCTGATGATACTGCACAAAAACAGCACAGCCTCTGTTGTCTCTGTTATTATTATTACAGGTTGTTATCGGTGTTTGTGCAGCACGAAGGGACTGCTGCAAATACCAGGACAAAGCTGACAGAGAAATGTTTCCAGAATCTTTGCCAACATGCAAATTATTTCTAAACATCAAAACAAATAATGGACATTTCAAGCTTTTATAACTGTTGGATATTTGAACTATATTTCCCTCTACCTGATTGTCTTTCTAGTCTCACTATATATCCTGACAAATTGATCTGATTCCAGGTTCCAGGTTTACATCTCTTACCTCCAGTAAGTATTTTTACATTCAGTTGACAAGCCTGAATAAATGTTGTATTTCATTTTTCATTTTTTTTTTTAAACCAGTAGGAATGTTTAGTTAAATCCTTGATGTATAAATCTCTTCCTATTCTTATTTTTTAAATTTTAGGTGCTTATGTATCTATTCTTATATTGTTTTATTTGCTTTGATAACCTGCTGCTGTAACACCATAATTTCTCAGTTTTGGATCAATAAAGTCATTCTATTCTATTCTATTCTAAAGGGATCGAACATTTTGAATGAGTTGAAACACTAAAAATAAGTACTCCTACACAATAAAAGTCTGGATTATTCAACATAAAAAACTCAGCAGTGTAAAATCGCTTTGAATAGTCAGAAGACTAGAGAAGCACTATACAAGCCTAAATTATCATTTAGCATAATGGATCTTCTGTTGCAATATTTAAGTCTACATTCAAATATCTTTAAAATCAATAGGTTGGTATTTCTTGCAGGGAAATATAATTGGAAATACTTTTTGGTGATAAAATAACCAGATACAGCTTCACCATGGCAACCAAGACTGGCCATGGTGAAAATTTGAAATTTTGACTGATGATGAGACGTTTACAAACCTAAAAAAAAAAAAAAAAGGCTATGATAAATTTGCATACCAGTATAAAATAATATAATAAGATAATTGTAGACACTTGTTTGGTTGTTTAAAGCTCCTGTGAGGATATTTGAAATGATTAAGACAGTGTGGAAATTAATAGTGATGCCTCTTTGTGACAAAAAAACATCTACCGTTTCTAAATTGTATTTTTAAAGGCCTGTTGAATTCTCTGCAACAAGGGTTGGTATCGAGCAAGCTCCTTTCCCAGTGCCAGTGACAAACTCCTGGAGCATCCTCTTCAGCGTCTGGATGAACCGTTCAACCAGGCCGCCAGTCTGTGGGTGGTATGGTGTGGTTATTTATTTGTTAGCTGCATTAATCTGCAGATTGAAAACAAACTTCCTCAGCAAATAAAGCAATACACACATATACAGATACAGGACAAAAGTACCAAAGAGATACGATGTAACGACTTGTCCAAAAAAGGCTCAAACCAAAAGTTCCCCCAGAGGAGCTTTGAAAGGGGAACAATCGTGTATCAGCGTTATTTTGAAATCTCTTCAACAATTTTCCTTCACAGCTTCTTCAAAGACATTTTGCATGTGAGGAAAAAAACTGACCTTGAACTACCACACAGTGTTTCAAGTTACAAACTTAAAAAAACAACAGTTGAATGCTACCTGTACATGCATTACAAATTCAATTCTAATGAACTAATAAAAAGTTCCATCATGCATAACCCCTTTAACTTTGATCATTCAAATCCATGTTGCATGCATGACTTTGACGTGCAGCATTTTTCCACTCCTGATACTCTTAAGGATCTGTGAAGCCTACTTCCTCCTCTGTTGCACAATACAGCATCATGCCGTGTCTCCGGAGAGCGATAAAAGCAGCAACACAGGGCCTGACTCGTGTGGCCTTACATCATCAACAAGCTTACAGGAGAAACAGAGGGATCTGTTGAACTCTTAAACCCCTGCCGGAGGGATTATCCATCTCTCTAGCTCCAATTATGTCAATGGAAGTGATGTAAAACAAAAGGTGCATCCATTCTCCTCTGCGGAGAAACACAACAATTAAGATCGCCCCCGGGTTCCTCAGATCCATATCCAACTAATGAAGTCAATGGGATTACACTAAAGGGATCAGGGAAATGTTCAGTGCCTTAAATAAACTAATCTGCTGCTGAAAAGTCGTCAGAGAAGAAAGACGATTCAATCGTGACTCATCACATCAACAACAAACCAAAACATGATTCAACAAAGTGCAATCCACTTAAAAAGCACAAGATATTTCATCGTAAATATGAAGTGTTATATAAGATGCTCAAACTGTTCATTAGTCACATGTGCAGAGGTTAAACTTCAAAGACCGCTTGCATGACTCCAGTGACCCATTTCTGAACACGCAATCGACCTCATATACAAAGTTTTTAATCTCTAGTCCAAGAAAAGTTTTTTTAATTTCAGTTTTTAGTGCAAAAGAAATGTCGTACAATAAACAATTCATCTTAATCATGTGATATATATATTTTTTAACCTTAAAGCCTTGTTTCAGGAGATGTCATCCTCCTCAGGCCTTCTCTGTTAGTTAACAGACACATACTGTATGGAAAAATTAGGCTATATCTGAGGTCAAAACAGGAAACACTATGTGGGCGCTTTAATAACACCAAAACATGCACACGCACACACACACACTCATACAGTCTGATAGATGTTTACAGTTAACAGACATGCATGTGTAAAAATGAGGTTATATCTGAGCTCAAAACAGGAAACACTCTTTGTTCTCTATGTGGGTGCTTTCATAACACCAAAAGTTACACATCAATAAGTTATTAATAATCTTCTTACAGTATTTACTCTACTAATAGAAGAATCAAGGAGAAACAGAATATGCTCTGGGACACACAGACTCCATTTGTTCAACTCCTTACTCAAGGACAATCTGTAAGTTTTTCTCCTTCAGTATTTCTGTTTTGTGCAACTTATTTCCCAACACTTCTGAGGAGTTATTACCTGTTTTGACCTTTATGTTACCAGATAAATAATTTAAACTTTGATATTGACGATATTTTTATTTATTTGTCTGTGGTATTAATTAATGAAAGTTATTTGCAGTGTGCCTTCTGAAGCAGCGAGAACACAAAGCATCAAGTACAGAAAAAAACAATTATTTCCTTCATGTTCTATTTCAGTGTTTACTCATTTTATACTTTTGCTTTTGTATTTTTTCAATTTAAACCAGTTTACTCATTTCACAGGATTGTACTTAAGTATTATGTCACTGGGTGGCACAGAGTCCAAGTGGTTGGCGCTGTTGCCTCACAGCAAGGCGGTTCCTGGTTCTAATCCCTGTTGGACGGGTTCTCTCTGTGGGAGTTTGCATGTTCTCCCTGTGCATGTTTGGGTTCTCTCCAGCTTCCTCTTAAAGTCCAGAGACATCCTCGTTAGGTTAACTGGTGAGTCTAAATTGCCCATAGGTGTGGCTGGTTGTCTGTCTCTAAATGTCAGCCCTGTGATTGACTCCAGTTCAGGGTGTACCCGCCTCTCGCCCAATGACACCTGGGATCTGCTCCACTTCTGACAGACTGAGGAGTTTTTCAAGCAAAGTCAAGTGAGACAAGAAGGCTTTGTGCACTCTAGAGGGACAAATGTGCCCCCTAGTGGTTAGACGTTAGAACAGCAGCCAGTCATTTTTTTTTTTTTTTTATGTAACTACAGTTCACTGAATGGCCAAGGCCACTGCATCTGTATGAGATACCGCTGGGAGGAATGAGCGTGCACCAGCTGAACCTTGAAAGTGTACAAAAACATGAAAACTACGAACATCAAAGTGCATGAATTTTATTTGATATACTGTGAAGTGCCGTCCAGGCGGCACAGAAATGGCAGCAGAACAATAAAAGACTATAATAAGGCTCCTTTTTAACCAACAACAAACCGCTCTTTTGTGTCTGAACAGGAACACCTGCAGAGGATTAATACCTTTTAGGAATAGATGAAAACCATTCCTTCTCACCCCTCCCCCAAAACCCGCTGTGTTAATATAATACACCAACAATTAAAGAGCAGCTGACTGTGGAAGGCCAACAGTGAAAATCCCCAAAAATCTGATCCGAGAGGACTGAACCATCACCCCTGAGGTCCAACATGCTCACAGGGAAGAACGCGGTAAGAAGCAGAAAGTGCTACAAAAGTCAGAAAAATTCATCAATAAACTGAAGAATAAAATCAAAGACTGATAACGTCATCTCATAATTCTAATATTTTATCTACTTCTTGGTTTCCTTTTGTAATCTGTCTATAATTTATTCAGTATACAAATACTAAACATAGAATATGATATGTGTATAAGTATGTCATTGTGTACAGTAGCACTTTTTCTTTGATGTCACAAGTAAAACAAACATGGACGACAAAGTCAGCATCCACCGCTAAAGCTCCGCAGCCAGTTTCTGCAGGATCCTCTCAAAATGCTGCTCTGCACAAACGATCGGAAGTTTCCCGGGGAAAAAGGTCCCAGGCTGCGAGATGATGATGATGATGATCCGCTGTGTGAAGGTTGTTAAATAGCGCAGCAAACACGAGGAGTTCCGTCTCATATGTGGTCCGTAGCAGTGACCCCGCAATGACTGCAGGCAGAGCTTAAAAGCCTCACATCTCCGGGCTTATGTCTCCCTCTAGGGGGGGCGGATTGTGGCTGAAAATCTCTCTCCGCCCCGGGGGGCGATAATAAAGCCTGAATTCTTCATCCTGGTTGGATAAAAGAAAAGACGGCTTGTGGTGGGGTCGCCCTCCGCAGACGCTTCATCTTTGGCTTTCAATAGTTTCAGGTTCTGAGTCTGAAAGCAGCAGGTCTTGTAAACAGCATGTAAAGGAAATCTACTAGAGAGTTGTTTTTTTTTTTTTTTTTAAATGTGTGTGTTTGTGTGTGTGTGTGTGTGAAAAGCCCTACGCCCAGTGAACCTGAGCTCCTGCCTTGGAGTGCCGTTTGGCCTCCCTGATGGAGAAAGCCTCCTGCTCCTCGCTGATCTCCTTCAGCCTCTTCTCCTCCAGAAAGGACACCAACGAGTCCCTCATGTCCACCACCTCGATCATCTGCTGCAGGACCCGCTCCTCCTCCTCCTCCTGCTCGGCTGTCTTCCCTGCAAAAACATTCACACGTGCAGAGTTAGAAGCAGCATCGGTTTGCAAAAACTGAAATTACATTGGTGATGTGTATGTCACTTTTTTGTTTTGTTCTGTTTTGTTTTGGGTGTGTGTGGTTTTAAAAAAAAAAAAAATTATGTGGGTTGCTTGTTTTTTGTTGCTTTATTTTTCTATATTACAAAAAGAATTGGGCAAACTAAGATATTATTATAACCATTTTGTTTTCTTCTTCTGCATTCTATTATTGTTTTGTGTAACATTATAAAAAAAGAAAAGAATAATGATGTAAGAAATGAACTATGTTTGGATTGCCCAATAAACACAAAGTTGCAAAAAAAAAAAAAAAAGCAGCATGAGCATTATCATATCGAGAATGCATGTATGAAAACATTAAATCATCATGACAATGTGAGATCGATGAATCTTCAGAGAACGATAGCAGCTTTGGTCTGCCCTGAAAATGACCCACCACCACAAAATGAGGGATTGAATATCCAAGGAAAATAATTACATTTCACCGAGCCACAACACGGAGGCTGAAGATTATTTTACTTACCTGTTTAGGGTTTACTTATAAACAACCATTTAACAGCTGGGATTCTATGAGCTAAAAATGACTTTTAGCTCTTTGTTTATTCTGTCAGGGGGATATTTTACTCTTTATTCGTTCATTTGAATTGCACCCATAGTGACCTATAAATGCTGCTTCTGTCCACTGATTGGAGCATTTCAGTGCATCTCTTTTGTTCTGCACTTTACTGCACTCTATGTGCCAATTTGAATTTCATGTTTGTATCAGTGGACCCCGAGAAGAGCAGCTGCTATACTTAGGTGGTGGCTAATGGGTATCCAAATGAACAAATATGGAATCTGTCTGCCCAGCCCCTGGTGGTACTTTTGATTGGTATTATTATTTATAAAACTCAAAATTATGATTTGAAAAAAAAAAAAAGAAGAAGAAGAATTTATCCATGGCAACTTCAAAGGTGATTTTGGGTCTCGTTATCTGTGGTTGATTAAAGATTGAATCAGATTTCTGTAAAGATATCACCTCGTCATTTTATATTTCTTTATAAGACAAAATACCCTTCAGTATTATTTCTCCAAAACAGCTCAGCACTGAAAATCTGTGTGGGGAGTAACAAAGAGGGATGTTACTGTATTATACACTGGAAAAAATGCACATTTTATTTGAATAACTCTGACCGAGGAGCCTCACATTGGCTTCAGCTGACTTTATATTTAGCACCCCCCCCCCCCCCATCTCTTCGACTGTACTTTTAAGTGTTCGACATAAGGAACCATTTTTAGCACCAGGAAGCCTTCAGTGTACGCGTGGACATCTGGGTAAAGTCTGTGCACGTCCTTTTAAAGATGACTCACTCTTATAGACAAACAACTTGAATAAAACCTGCTAGCCCAGCAGCATGCAGGCTACAAATAACCCATAATGCAACTGTCTCTGTTTAAAAAAGGATATGAGATTATACTTAAGTTAGACCTCAAGTTTAAACCCATCTATCACGGATGGATAGTAGCAAAATGTCAAAGCACTGTTGCTCTCATTAGAGGAGGAAGCATGCAATAATCCTCTCAGTAGCCGTAGCTCGTGTTGCTCTCTTCAACATCTATCTTAAAGTTGTTTGTGTGTGTTTGTGCACACACAGTTTACACACCCTCCAGCTTCATGTACTTCCTGAGCTCCACCTCCAGCGCGCCCTGCTTGTCTTCCAGCTCCAGCTGTCGAGACCTGAGAGAAACACAAACAACAACAACTTATTCATGTCAACATTACATCCTGCTGTAGCTGCAGGTCATCGTCAGGCCAAAAGAGTCTGACTCTACAGACGCCTGGCTGCTCTCACCGAGCTGCTGAACAGTAAACCACAGTGTTTGGAGGCGGAGCTAAGCTGTTATGGACCCTCTGGCCACTTTGTCACGCACCACTCTGCACAAGAGTTGTGTTGTCCTCCCGTTATGAACACACACACACACACACACACACACACACAGGCCTTTTACTGTGTTTCACTTTTTTTTTTACTGAATGCACAAGAGAGGAAACAAACTTGTGCACACTTACGCCACCATGAGGTCAGACTCCTCAGACACCAGAGCGTTCTTCTCGTGGACGAGCAGGATCCAATCCTCGATCATTTCAGGAGAGCCGGCGCTGCCTAAAGTAGAAAAAAACGCAAGTGTGACTTTCTGTGTGTGTGTGTGTGTGTGTGTGTGTGTGTGTGTGTGTGTGTGAGAGAGAGAGAGAGAGACGACGTGTTTGCTCGTTAAGTTTTAAATAAAAAGAGGAAGACAGGTTTGAATGGAAATTCCAGATTTAGAGTTGTGGAACAAGATTTTCTGTGTCTGTGACACAACGGCCATGTGAGTGAGCGACAGCGAGTCTGAAGGGAAACTGGAGACCTCAGGCAAACATTCAGCTGCTTAAAAACACAAACACCTGTCTCATATTTACCGTCTACTGAAGCTTATTGGCTACTTGTTTCAGTTTTCTCTGTCAAAATCGACATTTGTGTTTTCTCTACTTTGTTTCACCAGAGTAGTGAGGATTTTATTTCCGTCACACACCAAACGTTTATGTTTCTACTTGTTCTGAACTTTATGATATTAAAAGGTTTAACTCTAGAAGTGCCAACGCCATGTTGCTGTATTGTCATCTTGCACGTCAGTTTAATGACAATAGAGCTTCGAATTCTTCAGCATAAAAGTATATTTTTGAGCATCACGGGACTAAAATCTGGGTGAATCTAAAACCTCTCTGCTTGTAATAAAATAAGGAGTTTTTTAAACACAGTCTCAAAAAAAAAAAAAAAAAATACAAACTTTGAATCTACTTCTTAGCAGCATGTTTGAGCTCTTTTTTTTTTTTTTAGTCCTCTCGGGCAGAAACATTAATGTTCATTGTCGGTGCACTCACAGCGACTTTCCAGTATCGATTGTCGCAGCTATTTTGAGCAAAAAAGAAATCAGGAAAGTCAAACTGTGCACCACCTGCTCAGCACCAAAGTGCAGACATACTCACACACAATGAACACTGACGTACATCGCTCTGCTCCTTCAAGTCCCTCCTTAAAACACACTTTTATGTGTTAGCATTAGAGCCCTCTGGACCTGAAAAGGAGGTTTGTCTGTTTTCTGTATCGTGTGTCTCTCTATTTACTTGTAGCTACTGTGGTCCTGGTTTAATTGTACAGCACTTTGGACAGAAGCTGCTGTTCTTTCAAAAATCTCTTACTGCAGGTTTAAATAAATGTTTGTACAGTTGACAAAAGAATCTGAAAAACCTGAGAGTGTGCTGTAAATGTTTGAGTCTTACCAGCCTCTCCTCGAAGAGTCCGCTCCAGCACAACACCTTTCTCCTCCAACTCCTTGAAGGTCACCTCGATCTCCTCCAGTCTCCTCTGGATGGACTGTGACCACAAACAGATACAAGTTTAACATTTTAAAGATTTATTTTTGGGCTTTTTGTGCCTTTAATGCAGAGATAGGACAGTGGATAGAGTCAGAAACTAGGGAGAGAGAGCGGGGAATGACATGCGGGAAGAGGCCACGGGTGGAAGCGAACCCGTGGCCTCCCGCTCGAGACGACAGCCTCAATACATGGGGCGCGCGCCTTAACCATTGCGCCACAAGTTTAACATTTTAAATCAATAAAAAAAACACTACTGATGAATTTATATATGGCTGTGTGTGCAGATCAGAAATAGTAGACGATGTTCTTCTTCTTTTCTCTAGTCCTTGACTAAAACAGCTTTTATACACAAGGCCGTCCCGTCCATGTAAACACGGCTCTGACAACAACACAGCCATCGGGACTCATGCTTCTTTCTCACTGTAGACATTTATGACTCAGAGAGACATTAACTTGATTTCTGCTGTATTCATGTGTAAAATGTTGCACATTCTTCCTTCAAAATAAAAGACATTGTATCGTTTAAAACCCGTGGTATCAAGAAAAAATATTAAATATCTATGTTTTGAAAATGTTGATCAGTCGATTTTTTTTTGTAAATGTGAAAAGACAAAATACAAAGTTAAAAAAAGGTTTAACGAATCAAATAGATAAAAAACAAACAAAAAAAAGAGACTATCTCTGAACATTCAAACACAGAGATAGACACTGACCTGGGCTTTCCTCAGACGCTGTAACTCGCTCATCTTTGCTCGTCGCTCCAGCGTCCTCATCTTCATCAGCTCCAACTTCTCCGCCTCGACGGGGTCCGACGGCACCGACTGAAACTACAGGCAAGAGTGTCAGAACAGGAAGCGTCTCTATTAATGTAAACGAAAGACATCGCATCAGTTTCTCTCCTCACTTTCTCATCATATAAGTCAAAGTCGTATTGTCCAAACATCTCATCGTCGTCGTCGTCGTCATCGTCATCATCGTCTCCATCGTCTCCGTCGACGCCTTCCTCCGAGGCGCTGTGAACATGTCTGAATGTTGTTTCTGAGGGAAAAAAAATGTGTTCAGACGGACGCACATCTCAATAACATCTGCACATATTTCCCTCCACTAAAGACACAGGAGGAAAATGAGTGACCCAGACTCACCCACTCTCCCCGGGTGATTGATGTGGACACTGAGCCGCGTGTCTCTGCTGATCCTCGGAGACGACAGATTCCAAGGGGAAAACTTCGACCGCACTCGGGTGTGCCCTTCCGGCATCTCTTTCCTCCTGAAGCAGCGCCGGTTCCTCTTTTCCCGCATGTGCCCGGCCGTGCTCCCGCTCCAATAGCCCTCCTCCTCCTGGCCGTCCAGGCCCTCTGCTTTCGGCGGGCTCGGACCCCCTGCGGTAGCAGAGGAAGAGGAGCAGGAGGACGACCCCCCGGGGGTCTCCGAGTCCGAGTCGGCGCTTAAACTCTGCAGATTCACCAGCTGGCTTTTCTCCTCCGCCGTCAGCTGGAGCTTTTTGAGCGACTGCTTGGGGCGGGAGTCCGGAGCCGACTTGGAGCTCCCTTTTGTAGGCGTAGGAGACGGATGATTTTCTGGAGTCGGGGGGTCTGAAAGGTGGATCGTGCGAGGTTTTGCGGTCGGAGGAGAGGGGTGAGGGCTGGGTGTGGTCTGTCGGAAGACGCGGGGCTTCGGGACAGGCTTCGGGACAGGCTTCGGGATCAGCTCCTCTGTCTCCTCCTCGGGTTTAGACCAAGAATCTATGCACGTATCTGGAGGTTCTTGAGATGTTTCTTCGGACTCAGGTTCATCCTCTCCTTTAGATTTATGCGAGTCACACTCCAGAGTGTACTCGAACTCCTCGTCAGACGGAGACAGAGTGTAATCATCACCGGAGAGCTCGTTCTCTTCTTCTTCTTCTTTGAGAGTTCCTATGCCATCCTAGAAACAGAAACAAAAAGATATATTTCTTCTTTTTTGGTTCATGGACTACATATTGCTCTGTCACAAACACTCTCTCATTAGTGGTGCGTTGCTGCAGCTGCGGGCCGGCGACATCACGACCCGGCACCAGGAGGAGGACGCAACATGCGACAGAATATTGTGTAACAGAAGAACAAACACAAAGATTCAGCGTGCAGCGTCTGGTGTAGTGAGCAACAGAGCGCTTCAACATCTGCTCTGCTCAGTGACCCACCTCGCACGATGCCTCTGCTGCCCCGTTTCCCATTTCCAGCTCTTCAGAGTGCAGCTCGCAGTAAAACCGCCCTGAGGGGACACGGCAGAGAAAAAGGCGTTGAATGAAAAGAACGCTGGCGTGCTTAAAATGAATCAGAACCCCCACCACACACACACACACACACCCCTCCTGCTGTTTTCTTAAATGATTCATCTCATTTCAGTCTTAATGGGACCCCTTTAAAGGGGGGCTGAGCGCAAATTATTAATAACGAGATAAATGAATAAGTGATGCTTCACTTATCGGAGCAAATCTCGACTCAGAGAGAACATGTAATAAAAAAAGGGCAATAGCTTGTTGAAAGCAGAAATACAAGAGCATTATACTCAACAACACGGCATCAAGTGCTTCAATGGAGGGAGGATCGATTAGCAGACAGAAGCTGCTAAAAAAAACTAGAGATGAAATATCACTACAGCACAGACAGACACTCAGGAAACCTCAACAACATTTAGAAGGGGGGGGGAGGTGTCCTGGTTCCGGTAAGAGAGGAGTTTGGATTCTATTTTTTAACAAGGCAGGCACTCTGTTGGTTGTGTTCAAATATCTAGATATCTAGTGTTGGGCCGTAGCAAACTTTTGTATTTGTTTTGGCGAGCTCTGTGGACAAAGCGATACCTTTGATCCAGAGGAGCACCGATGACCCCGCTGGTGGTCAGAATCATCTGATTTTCAGCCTGTTTGTCCGTGGTCGCTGACCTCACAAATAGAGCTGATCATGCGCAGTTTCTGTGCCAGATTAACTCGCAAGACTTTCTGTGACACAAAAGCCACAAATACTCAAGCTAACATGTCGGCAGTGTAGATGTAAGGTCCCCATCGGCAGAGGTGAAAAGCATGAAAAGGGATAGTTCTGTATTTTTGATGTGGCGTCCTATGAGGAACTTTTGATTAGTAAGAATATCAGCCACAGGAGATGTCGTTCAGTTCATCTCCTCTATTGAGAAAAGTGAAGAAGTGCAGGAAGCTATATTCTATACATTTTTTTGCACCCTGTAATTTTGCAAATTTTGAGAAAAACAAAACTAGAAAAAAACGCTACTTTTCAGCTAGCAGGCCCCTTTGTTTAAGCACTAAACAAAAATTACAAACAAATAAATAGCAAAAAGATGAAGGAACAAAACACGTTTTTGTTTGATGTCCATGAGAAGGTTGGGGTGAGATGAGAGACATTCATACTGTATGTGTAAATATGTGTTTACGAGTGTGTTTGTGTTGTCTTTTAGAAGTATTTAAATGCCTTCATCACAACGTGGTCATACAGATCCTACATGGTCATTCTGTGACAGTAAATACAAGTTACTGTTCTGAAAGACTCGGCCTCTGAGTTTGCTTCTTCTGCATATTTCTGTATTATTTAGGTCAAGACCAGTCTGTGAATCTGTGGCTGTTGGGGAAGGTAAGATGATGTAGTCAGTGACTTCAAAGCACGAGAACACTGGCAGACATGCAGAACACATAACTTATCATTCTGAGGATATGTAAAAATGTGGGTTTTTTTTAAGGGTCTTATTTTGTGCATTTGAAGATAAATCAAAGATCAATTAAAAAAACGGATTGGTTGCAGAGTACTTTTTGGCCTTAAAATGCCTTTTTCTTTCTCCTCTAGCAAAAAAAAAAAAAAAAAATGCATCAAAAGAAATGTGTCTGTAGAGTTCTGGTGCTAAACAATTACCATAGAAATAGAAAAAACAGAACAGAAACTCATGTAGTAAACAGCTTTCACAGTGTGGTTATTTTTCTGGCTCTGCTACGACTCGGGACATGAGTTGAGTTGTCAGGTGAAAACAAAGCTGATCTAAGGTGAGGGATGTGATCTTTTTTTTTTTTTTCCTTTTCTGTTTTGACCTTAATGTCGGAAATGTTACAATACATGTTAAGCACTTTGCATCGCCTCATATGAATGGTGCTCTATGAATAAACCTAAATTTTGACAACGTGATTCAGGTATTTTTGAAATGTTCATTATAAGAGCTTTTAAAATTTTTGCAGTTGGAAATCAGAAAAACTAAAAATGACACAGCTGTGTTGCAATGCAATGTGCATAAATAAATCAGTGACGTCTGGTGAAGTCTGAACTCAAAGTGAACTCTGAAAAAATCAGCAAAAATGCTGCTTCAGGTCCCTCGTGGTCTGGCTGAATTGGGGTGGTTGCAGCCTCAGCTCTAGTGAGTCTGCTATCAGTAAAGTCTGGATGTTTGGGCTTTTAGCACTCTCACCTGTCGTCTGGTCGAAGGTGTAACCTCCCAGTCTGAGCGTGATGCTACACTTGTGGCAGGTGAAGCAGCTGCGGTGGAAGAACTTCCCCTCGGCGCTGATTCGCTCCAGCACGTAGACCCTCTGACCGCAGAAGTAACACTCCTCACTGTTTATCAGCGACACAGCAGAATCGCCGTCGGGCTCGAGCTCGGGAGCTGGATCAGGTGTGGGGCTGAGCTCGGGAGACACTGGAGGCACCAACGTCTGCGGAAAGGAAGAGGTAACGTCAGGGAAACAACAGATACAAAAGAGATCAGTCAGTGCAGAAAGTTTCAACTCACGCTGTCCTCATCTCCCATCCTTTTTTCACTTGCTCTTCCTCTTTTCTCAGCTGTTAACTTTTCCTGCAGAAAACAAGAAAACCTCATCATCTGACACGAATAAAGAGGACATCCAAACATAAACACAAAACCATGTTGATTGAAAACACTTCCCTCGGTGTCCCAGAAACAAAAAAAAATGAGACTCAAAAACAAATGTGAGTCACGTCTGACGGCCCAGACGTGAACTCCCGCCAGCGAGCCCCGTCTGTGTTTGGAAAATATCTTTATCAAACATTTCTGGGTGCTGTGTAAACACCGAGCCGCAGCCGGTCGCAGCGGTGCGTACCTTGCGTCTTTGCAGAGAGTTGTGCTTGAGCTTGTTCAGGAAGAAGACAGCTGACTGCGCCTGGGAGAGAGTGAGAGGCTTGGACAACGGCAAGAGAGTCGCAGAGTCTGAAATCGGCAGAGAAGAAAACAAGAAGGAAAATTTCAAAGAGGGGGAAAAACAAAGGATTTAATTATCTTGTTTGAATATTGGGCTTCAAATAAGACGGTCAGGAGAGCTGAAAAGATACCAGGAAAAAAAAAATCACACAACTTTGATATTTGTGTTGATACCTTTGGAACCACAATAGAAAACGTAGGCGCCTGATACTGCACACTGTCTTAACTTCACACATACATACAATTCACACAGCTCACCGCCTCTTCTCTCTGTTTGTAAGAGGAATACACGTAACTTTACATTTTCTATGAGACACCAAAATGACTTTAGTATCTGCCGACCTGTGAGTTTAAATGGACCGCTGCTGCCTCTCATGGCAGCACTGAGGTAAAAGTATGACTGAGAATCTGTGATTTTTCAAAGCTTTGGTACTTTAAGACACTATTAAATCATTCAAATAATTCAGATTGTATCGTTGTAAAACATTTTGGAGTTGAACATTTTGACCACCTTAGCTGCAAACCTGAGAGAAAGACTGAATGCTGCTGTTGGCCTACTTGCAGCTTTGCATACAGAGGCTCAAAATATTCTCTTTGTTCCTTTTATTTAATATCTTCAAGATTTGTCCTTTTATGCTGAATTCTCCTGTCAGGAATATAAATAATCCCTCTTACTTGTATTTCCTCTAACGCCACAGCAGCAGCAGCAGGAGCAGCTGAATATCACTTGTCAAGCCTCATAAAAAAAACTCCTGAGCCCCGGCTCTGACTAACACTCCCACTCTTTCATCATTCAGAGACGGTAACCGGAGACTGACAGCTTCCCTCCTGCCTGCACATCAGTCAGCGGATCCCGAGCAGAGCAGCGCAGCATCACAGAGACACACACACACACACACGCAGAGAGAGAGAGAGACAGCGAGAGAGAGAGCGAGCGTACATCATCACACCCACTTCAGCTCATTCACTGCCTCCAAATCTTAGGCTTCTCATTCAAACTCCTCCTGCTGTAAAAAATACCTCTGCTGCAACGAGCCGGGAGAAAATCCTCCTTCAGTGCAGGAATGGTCGATCTCTCCTTCAGGTAAGCCTGGTTCACACCGTGCCTGTTTTGCTCTGCCTGCTGGTTTAGTGCAGGAGAGCAGCAGCAGCAGCAGCACCAGTACAGGCTGGCTCTGAGCACAGCACTAGCCACTTAAGAAGCCCAATGAATTCTGGGTAATCAGCTCTTAAAGAGACAGCAGCGGTTTGATCACTTCTCAACACTGAACAGATTTCAGTGGGAGGACACCTGACCCTTTTAAGGTGATGCTAATGCTGAGCGGTGTCTTAGCAACAGAGTTATGTAACATTGATGCTGCTGGCACTATTAGCAAAAATATATCAGAAGATAAAATCACATTTGAAGTATTAATCCATAGATCAATTACAAAATGACTGTGATTGGTTGCAGAGAACTTTTTTTGGCCTTTGGATCATTTTTCTTTCTCCTCTTGTAAAAAAAAAAACAAAAAAAACGCATCATAATAAAAACCAGAAAGGGTTTTTTTTGATCAGCAGGAAGAAATGTGTCTTTGAGTTCTGGTGTTAATTTTTTTTACATAGAAATAGGACAAACAGAACAGAAAAATCCCCAATACATAGATGTTTTTAAAGACTATCATTTTAAAGGTCCCATATTCTGCTTTTTCTGGTTTTATATGCTCTTTAGTGTGTTTTCTAAGTGTCCTGTGCATGTTTAGGAACATCTATGTGCAAAAATTCAAAGTCTGCGGGAACACAGCTTCTCCTACGTCCTCCTGTTAGCTGTAGCATTAGCCGCATGTAACGCTCGGTTCTAGCCCCCCTCGATAAAAATGTGTCAGTGCGACGTCACTGTCAGTGTGAGATCACTGATCTAAGCCCATTGGCTCGTTGTGGCAAGACCTGCAGCTCATGTTGAAATTTCCGAGACGCGTGCTGAGCAACTGACCAATAACGACAGAGCGGATCGGCAGACCAATCAGAGCAGACTTGGCCCACGTGGGGTCTAACAGTGTGGGCTCAACAGAGTGTAGCTGACGGACTCAGCGCGTAGAGGGAGCAAGGAGGAGCAGTACATGAAAACAGACACTTTTTTCAGACTTTATCTATTGTGAACGTACAAAAGTAGGAACATAGATTAAATATAGGAAACCCAGAAAGGGCAGAATACGGGCTCTTTAAAGGAATAGCAGGAAGAGAAATCTGCAAATCATTCATGTTGCAGACGACGTGGCTCAATTCAGGCAAATCCTTTTCATATAGTCTGTGATTTTTCTGTGATGTATTCTAATGTATTCAAGACTCAAATCCCGCTGAACTCTGAGTCTACTTGCAAGGCGGCCCATAAAGGGGGGTAAAGGGGACGGCTTTCTGGGGACAAGTAGCACACCTATACACTCACCATTACCTCTTAAAGTAACAAGAACACACATTTTATTTATTGTTGCTCCAGTAAAGTGTAGCCCGTTTCAAAATGTAAACCCCCTCTTCTTAAAATGATATGAACGGTTTTTTTATGTGTAATGTAACTGAAGTAAGCGGGCCCAGAGGAAGCTAATGTTAGCCAGGAGGCTAGCACTTACAGATACATTTAGACAGCTTAAAAGGAAGGACACATTGGTATGTACATTGCATACGTGTGGCCATGTTGACATTAGACATCTATGTGGGACTGCGTTTGCATCAACATGTTTATAAAAGTCTAGAAAAGGGACTTTATGTGAATATATTGCCTGCCTTTATTTTGGTAATTTGCCTCTTCAAAATAAAAGTCCAACATAGCCAAACTCTTACCTTTCTTGGGATCAGTGAAGGCTTTTTTGACCTGTGTGAGGTAGCAGACCATGGATAACGTGTCTATCTGTCCGCTGTTTGCTAAATCACCAACAGACATCACAGGAGGGATGCCCAGCTCCTTCTCCAAGACTCTGAAGGCCAGCTGGTTGTTGTGAACAGCGCTGGACTCGTCCAGAGAGGACATGTCGCTGTGGAGGAAACAAACATCAGAGATTACTCAACAGGATGAATCATTGAGGGGGTTTGATGATGGTGGTGAATCCATCAAATCGTTGGATGTTGTTAGTTGTTTATTGTATCATTCATACTTTTTTATATTGCCACTTTTTATTAGGATTTGTTTTTGGGCCTTTATGCCTTTTTTTTTTTAAACAGGAAATCAGGGAAGAGAGGCCATCTGTGCCCCTTCTTTCCATATTTTTAAAAATCATTTTATTGATTCATCTTGTAAAAAATGTGATTCTTTTTATGACTCCAAACATTAGCCGTGTTGTCAGATAAAAACAAAGCTGAGTTCAGGTGAGACACTTACAGGAGCTCAGGTCTGAAGTGGTGGATCATCGCACACAGAGCCAGTCCAGACCTCCAGGATTGAGTGAAATCTTTCACATTCACGTTCTTGTAACCTGCCGTGTGAATCTGGCACCATTTCAACAACTCTTCAAAACCGCTGACCGAATCTAAGAGAAGACACACACAAGAGAACTTTGTGGTTTCCTGGTTGTCATAAAAAAACACGTCCGTCTCTGATATCTAAATATGGCGGATTATATATGTTATATGATGTGTCAGTGTCCACAAAGTGACAGAGTGCTTCCTCCTTAGCTCAACACAGCTGATTAGAAAAGATAAAGAGTAACAGAGTAATCATAAACGATCTGACCTTGACGCATGGGAGACGGGTTACTCTTCGGTTTCTTGATAGAGGGGTTGAATTTGTCCATGTCATACAGGTGATGAACCTACAAAAAAGGGACAGGTAGATAAGACTGACATTCATGGACTAACTTATTCTTCTACTAGCTCCACGAGTTCATCAAACAACATTAAAAATAATCAAAATCTCCTTCCATAAAGGGCCGCACTATTAATTACCACTTCTTCATTATTGCAATAAACGCATCAAGAATTCTGAATTTATCACAATAAATAAGAGAAAAAAAGCGATCATGCAGTCAGATGAAAATCGAGCTTGCCTTCATCTCGCCTCAGATTCATTTGTGTTAATTCCGTGGAGCAAAAAACTCCCCTAGGGATTTATTTTGGATGCAGCAGCTTCATATCATTAAATATATCATAATATCACACAGGAATGTACCTTCTGCTGTGTTGTTTTTATGCATATGACTGTGTCTACTAGTAGTGTTGCAGTACTGAAATCGGACTTGGTCTCGTCCTGGAATTAAAATCATTTTTACCCGTTCTTTGTCTCGGTCTCAGACTGGGTGAACTCTAGGTTTTTAAATCAAGACCACCACTGAAAAGCTTTTTTTCCCCTATGTCATCACATTAGAAGGAAAACGCGTCTTTCTGAAAGAACTTTTAACTTCAATTCATCCTTAGTTTGATTTTTATCCCCCTCCCGGTGTCATGGTTTAAGTGAGTGAAACGTCCCCTGCAGACAAGTTGATAATTCTTTAGTTATAATTTTGGTCTTGGTCTTGACTCGATCTTGACTCCTAAATGTCTTGGTCTGGTCTCGGTCTCGGAGGACTCTGGTCTCGGGTATGTCTTGGTCTCGGTCAGTGTGGCCTTGACTACAACACTATCTACTAGACTGTAGTCTGTGTGTCTGATTAAAGTAACTCTGATCTCAATCTGTGTTGAGTAAATAAAGGATGACGGCACTGACCTGGTGGCTGTGGATGGAGGACATGTTGACTCTGGTGTAGCGTGTTTTGGGGTCGATGGTGTAAGCAGCGTAGTTCTTGCTGGTGTTTTCTGGTGTAGTCTGGGAGAGGACCTGGTAGGTACTCTCTCTGCACATTTAAGAAGAAATGAAAACACAGAAGTTTAGAAATGAGATTCTGTAAATGAGTCAACATGTAAAAAAAAAAAAAAAAAAAAAAATCTTGACTGCATGTTTTTCTGACTTTCACTTTGAACAGAGACAGAACTCTTTAACGTAAAAAAGACGCTGTCTGGCATTAAACTAGTGTGCAGGTCCCTCCTCTTATTTCAAAGTTTGATTTTTTTTAAAAAGGACCACGGTTAAGATCGTTAAAATAACCAGGTTCTCCACATTTCATTCACAACAACATGCATCACAGTCTGATCATTCTCAAAGACTTTTATACCAAGGAGTATTAAGAGGGGGGGATTGGAGATTTTGAGATTAACATCATTAATTTACGATGTATGCCGATATGAAACTACACATTCTTTTGGCACAACAGCATCACATTGTCAGAATTATCAGGACCCTGAAAAGATACTGCTAAGAAACTGGAGCTTTTCCACAGAGAGAACCACACTGACTTGAAGGAAAGTGTATCTTTTGTGGCAGATGAAATGTCTTTGAGGGTTCTCCTTTCATCGTTTTTCGCTCAGACTGCTCTTCTTTTACAACCTTTCAGAATAATCGTTTTAACCATCGCCTCATTTAAATTGATTTACGGATTTAAAATCATAAATTAACAACTTCCTCCTGGTTATTTTACGACTTCAATCTTAAGATTTTTAGACTTTTTTTCTTTAATGTGACCCTAATATTCCGTCTACGTTTGTCTTTTAAATTTCAAAAGCTCCAAATGGACTCATTCAAAGGACAAAAAAAACGACTGCTGTTGAAGCCTCGTTGTTTTATTCTCATCACATAAAGGAGTCATGCTGAATTAGTTCTAAAAATATGCAACCACACACTCTATTTCTCACTTATCATCTCAAGCTGGGACGTGTTGCTGATTAGACTATCCACAGGCCAACTGACGACTTAGTGCATTTTTACATTAATCAAGGAGATCTATTTATTTTAGTGATGTTTGAATCCTTAGATGAGGCAAGGCAGATTTATTTATAAAACTCATTTCTTACATAAAGACCCCTCAATGTGCTTAACACAAATCAAATAAACATTCAAGGAGAGATGAAAAAACCCAACATGCTTCAATATAGTGTTGTGGTACTCCAAATCGGTCTTTTTGAAGGTCTCGGTCTCGGAATCGTCTCAGAAGCGAAAGCATTTTGACCCGGTCTTGTCTCGATCTCAGAATGGGCGGACTCCGGATTTTGAATCAAGAGCGGTCAAGACCACAACTGATAGACTATTAGAAGGAAAATTCCTCTTTCTAAAAGAACAAATAACTTCAATTCATTTATTCATTTGTAGTTTCATTTTTATCCCCCGGTTACGGCCGCAACCTTCCCAGTGTTACGATCTAAGTGAGTGACACGCCCGCTGCACACAAGATGAGGATTTTTCTGTGACATTAATGGTCTTGTTCTTGTCTTGGTCTCTCCCTGCATTGATCTTAGTCTTGACTCTGTCTCGATCCCTAAATGACTACAACACTTCTTCAACAAATAGAAGATCAAAAAACAGAGTAAATTAAAGAATAAGGGCCAGATTTACTAAATCTGTGTCTTAAAACGTGTGCAAACTTGATACCACCAGCACACAATGTGCTATCTGATCTACTAACGACGCGCAGTGAGGATTGCGTCTTTCAAATGAGCAAAACAACACGCATTGACCATTTAGTACGTTTGCCTTAATGAATATTCAACATGGGGCGTTTCTGCCCTAGCGTGCAAAATACTGGGAGGAGAAAATGCAATGTAGAATTTCAACATTGACATTTATTTCCTCCTATTTCCCTCATTTCACCAACATTATATTTTAAACTGGGGATTTCCTTTTTCTCGGGTCGCGCGTCTCTCCACCAGCTCGCCCCCTCCGGTGCGCTCCTCTCCATAATGCGCTCGTCACCTCCCTCTAAAGCCCGCTGCTGCTACGCTGTAGGACGCTTGGACTGGGGGACCTCACCACTGTTTGTAACCCCGTCTTCGATACCTCTTTCCAGGGCATTTATGTCCGATCAGACGCAGCGCTGGCCAGCTGTCTGGTGCGCAACAACGGCGAGTGTATTGCGCAATGTATGACACTTCATTCTTAAGATGAAGGGAAGAAAAGAGAGGCCCTGTTTAATGCTGATGTTTTCTTATAACCACATTTTTTTTGTTATTTTGCTTATTTGTTATTGTTCAGATTTATCTCCTATAACTCGAAAGTATTGTGCGTTTATTTGCCTCTCCCACTAAGACCTATTTTGCGCTTGCAGTCGTCCTGCTTTCTGTCCAAACTCTCCGTGATGTAAACCAATAGAACACGCAAAAACCTTACTTAAATACTACGGCCTCCACAAGGTTTGCACCTGTTGTCATTCACGCAAATTGTCTTAGTAGATCACCTGCAAAACGCCCACCAACCAAATGTGCCAACTTTTGGAGTGAACACGCAATTTAGTATTCTTTAATTGGGAGCTTAGTAAATCTGGCCCTTTGTGTTTTTTACATCTTACATTTTTAAATTCTATTTTATATATTGTAATAACTTCTTATACTCTATTATTTAAGTTGATGCTAGTTCTTCTTTTTTTCCTTGTTAATTGTGTAGCACCAATACACCAAGTCTAATTCCTTGTATGTGTAAATGTACTTGGCAATAAACCCAGATTCTGATTGATGTATTGTGTATATTTTAAAGATTTATTTTTTGGGCTTTTCGTGCCTTCAATGCAGAGAGAGGACAGTGGACAGAGTCGGAAACCAGGGAGAGAGAGCGGGGAGCGGCATGCGGAAAGGGGCCACGGGTGGAAGCGAACCCGGGCCCACTGCCCGAGACGAGAGCCAAAACACACGGGACGCGCGCCCCAACCACCGCGCCACCAACGCGCCCCTGTCGTGTATATTTAGAAACAGTAGGTAACACTTTTTCTTTTCAAAAACAATTGCAGAAGTTGACTGAATCAGCAAACCGTCTACAGCAGGTAGTGAAGAAACAGGATGTAGTTGCATCATGAATGAACTCCATGGTTTTCTGCAGGATGTGGCTCAACTGATGTTAAGATGAAATGCTCTTTCTTTCTTTGTCTTTAATGCTGTTTTGTAGTTTTATGACGTTGACTCACCGCTCAGCCAGGACCTTGAGATGCGGAACCCCCATGCCCCAGCTCCTCACCATCCACGCTGTGTCAAAAGCCGCTAAAAACCCTCGAGCGATCCCCGTGCCCAGAGGCCAGAAAGGCTGCACGACAGAGAACAAGAAAAAGTGGCTGTAGCACATTAAGACGCTCTCACAATCACCAGGAAGTGGAGCAGAAACATTTCATACGGTGAGTGAGTATCACAATATGAGGCAGATTAAAACTTATGGGACGGAAAAACAAGCAGCTGCCTGGCATTTCAAACTCTCAAATTTCAAAACACTCCCAATCTCATGTAAACAAGAGGAGACTCCACGGCTGGCGGCTATGAGAGGCTGCGGTTAGAATAATGCTAACTTCAGAATGCTAAAGACAATGCTAACAATGACATTTACCTTCCTAAATGTTTAGCACGATGACCAAATTGAATTCAAACACCAAGAGGCCTCATTGTTTATACCTCCACCAGGCAATCTCCAACCAGACCCATCAGCAACTTCTTCCCCCTCCTCTCCCTGACCAGAGAGGCGTTCTCGGCCCGGTGCATGCAGGTGAAGTCGAACATGGCCACGTCCGGCTGACCTGACGGGTTCTTAGCGAACTGGAGGTCAGGCAGTTTGCCGCCTGTGGCGAAGCAGGCGGCATCCTGCGCGTATCGACACAGAGCCTCGAAATCAACGTTAGCGGGAGCCAGCAGCTCGTCCGCATCGCTGAAGTCCTGCAGAGAGACAGAGGGAGAAATGTGATGAGACATGACACTTCTTCTACTCCAGGTGACTGCCGGAGCTAATAGGCCAGGCTGCAGAGAAAGACGGGAATGATTGACAGCACTCGCATCCCCGTTTCATCAATCTGGTTTGTTTCTTTTTTCTCTTAATCGTCCAGGGATTGCAGCAGCTGCCAATAAGAATCACACTTTTTCTTGGTAATGGATGTGTTGTTCCCACCTGTTTAATGACCCCCTTCTTCAGCAAGCTCTTCTTCTTGGCAGTCATGACAAAGTAGTGGGTGTCGTCCTTGTAGTAGACAATATTTTCCAGATCAATACCTGGAATAGATGATGGAAAGGAAGGAGAGAGAGAGAGGGTGAGCAGTGTAAGAGAATGATGGATTCAGAAAGGGCATTTTTCTATTCAAGAGTGTTTTCCTCTCTCTGTCATTAACCTGTATGCTAATGCATTTTCAATTAGAGTGTGGGTGAGCATACAGAGTCGCAAGAAGGTCAGAAGGTGGGAGCAATCAAGTGATTCACACAATGTCTGTAATGTTTGCTGCAAACCGAGGTGCAGTACATGCAGAGGAGGTCGGAAGTGAAGGCTCGGCTTCATCAGGGTTTTCACAAGAAATTAAAACTTAGCACCAGAGCACGGATGTTTTTTTGGTTTTTTTTAACACCTCACACTGAACCTGACCTGACAGTGTGAACATTCAACTCGCGCCTTCAGGGGGGGCTTCTTTCAAGCAAGGCACAACAGGAGAGCAATAAAATAATGAAAAAAAATGAGCTCATGTTCTTATTAGGAATGTGACGGTTCTGTGACTCCACTTCATAATTCATGCTCTCTCCCGTTATGCAAAGCAACTGATTTCCTCTTTTTCTTGCTTCAATATTTAAACAGAAAACTGAAATAGAGAAAAGAAAAGAAAGTCTTCCTCTTTCAAACAGTTTCACACGACTCTGGATGTAACAAGTGTTCCTACCAAACGGTAAATGGACTTGAGCTTGAGCTTTTCTAGTCTTCTGACTATTCAAAGCTAAATTCTATTTTTTACACTGCATGTCACACCGACACATTCACACACTGATGCTAGTGGTTGCTATGGAAAGTGACCATCAGGAGTAACTAATGCCATTCATTCGAAGGCCGCCGAAGAAGCAGCAGGAGCAATTCAGGGTTAAGTGTCTTGCTCAAGGACACATCAGACATGTAGCTGCAGGAGCTGGGGATTTAACCCACCAACCTTCTGGTTGAGAGATGACAACTCTGAGCCTCAGCCGCCCACCAATGGCTGAACCTCCATGGCTGAAAAAACTACGCCCACACACACGAGAATAACTAAATCTGCAGTTCCTCGAGTGGCCACTTGAGGCCAGCTGCACAAGCGAGTCCATCCCCATTAAGTCCGTTAAGTAAAAACGTATACAGCCTGGCAGAGAGAAACAGGTTTCTTTGCTTATCGAACATTTCACTCAGGGTGAATTTCATAAAACAAACCTGTTTCAATTATTTAAAGTCATGTGGCCACATTGAGTGACAGGTAGGTGCTGCTAGCTCACTGTTAAGTGTCCAACAGGCTTGGACTGGCCAACTCTGAATTTGCAGACCCCTCCCCCCTCTACATCACCATTTAGTCAGAATTTTGTAACTTCTGGCTTCAGAAAACCAGCATAATTATGTCAGAAAATGAAGAACTTGTGGCTTAATAGGCGGTTGACAAACCACTGGGTGAAGTAACAGCAGTGATGTCCATTATTTATAGAGCCCCAAGGTTCCTACCCGTCTGAGTGAGCAGGTCTTGGAAGAACTTCTGGTTGTAGATGCGAGCCACCCCGCTGATCTCTGCGACCTGAGCCTCCGCTGCCGTGTTTCTGTTGATGAAGTTGGTAGTGATGCCGATTGCCAGTTTTCCTCTCAGCTCTTTGTGCTTGAATCCTGATGTTTTTAAGGAGAGAGGAAACTAGGGCTGAGGAAAGCTCACTTTTTTTAAACATGGCTGCTGTAGGACGTTTTTTGATTATGTGTAACAAGCAGGCATTGCATAATGTCATGCACGCAGCCGTTGCGTCCCATATTACAACATTTGTAAGAGAAGTGATTCAACAGTTCATGCGTGTTTGTCTCACCATCAGGGACAAACCTGCCTCCTCCAGCAGAGATGAAGACATCAAACTGGAAGTTTGTAGCGGGATGAGACCCGGGCTGCAGCTTTGCCATCCACCCTGTCAGAAACACATCAAACTTTCATGAACACAGAACCTCCTCTGCATCTTTCATAACAACTCGACTGCTTTGCATACTTTTTGTTTTTCTTAAATATTCTACGTTTACAAAACAACAGCTGATGGTGATGACAAAGTGCAGGTTGGGGAAATGTTAAGTACCATTGTCTCCTGAGGGCTCAATCAAACCCCGAAACTCCACTCCGGTGTGAACCTCCACCCCGAGGAGAAGTGACACTTTCAAAAGAATGAGCTGCAGCTGACGGATGCCTGGAAACACACACATGTATATTGCATTGGAAGTGTGTGTGTGTGTTAGATAATGAAGTACAATGTACAATGTACAGTCAGTCATGCATACGGGAAGTAAGAACGAGTAAGTTCTTTTGTCTTTTTCACAGCGGTTACAGTGAAGCAGCAGTAATAATGAAATCTTGTGTGCTCAGTCTCTCTCCAACAAATCAAGAATGAGAAGCAAAGACGTGAACTAGTACAGAAGTTCATAAATAGGAAATTCATAAATACAAAGTGCAGACAGTTTAAATATACTAGGCCCGACCAATATGGGATCTTTGGGTCTGATACCGCCATCGATATTAGGGAGACAAAAATCAGATACAGATATATTGGCAGATATAAACAATGTTGATTGTTGTCTTTTTATGGCTGCAGCATGGGTGAAGAGTCCAAGACAAATATCTCACTTAGTCTGACTAATCTTGAGTTTTATAATAAGGTTATCATAAGGTTAACTCATAACTCATAAGGTTACTAAATCACCCAAAATGCATCAAGACTCCACATTCCCAAGATTTTCCAAATGTAGTCTTCTGCACCAGCCAACATCGACCCAAGTGATGTCACTCGAGGCAATTTATCAAACTTCATGCAGCTCCTTTTGCAGCCACAAAAGGCTTTATAAACTTTTCTGGTTGAGTTAATTTGTAATTTAAAAGGCCATTATTCTCAGACACAGTCGAGGACGGTCAATCAACAGCAGCCAGAAGTCACTCACTGATGTGATCCAGAGACCCGGTGCAGAATTTCCCGTAGAACTTCTTCGCCCCGAGCCCGCGGAGGTCGCAGATGGTGTAGGGCCAAAGGTGGAGCACGTTGTTTCTGGAGAAGAACTCTCTCTTTTCCAACAACACCACCTGAGCGCCCAGCAGGGACAGCTCGATGGCCGTCCTCAGCCCACATGGTCCAGCGCCCAACACGAGGCACTACAGAAAGAGAGAGGAGGAAGACACACGGTCACAGCAGGGATGATCAGGCCGGACAGTTAAGGTAAATAAAATGTTGTAACACCACTCTACGGGGCAAAGCTTTGTTATTTTTAGCTTCAAGCCTGGAGGGGCTAACAAGTATGATTTTGGAATTCACTGGAAAGCCTTGGAGCGGTCAGAGATTTAAACATTACAAAGAATGAAGCCGATCCAAGCTGTCGTTTGGTTAAAGGCCGATTCACGCCCTATGTACAGGCTATAAACCTCTTCGCAGCGATCGGGGGTTTGATTCTGACCTCTGCCCTTTGCTGCATGTCATCCCCTACTCTCTCTCCTCCCAACATTTCCTGTCTCTCTTCAGCTGTCCTATCGAATAAAGGCAAAAATCGCCCAACAAATGTAACTTAAAACTGGAGCCTTAAAGGGGCTGTGTACCATTATATACATTAAATAATAAAACGCATGGATAGCAACAAAAAAAACACCACTATGCCTGATTGTAGGTAGTTAAAACAAATTCATGAAATTATCATTACAAAAAGATTTTAGGATAAGTTGACACACCAAACAAAAACAACACAAATAATCTGAACAAATAATGGAATTTGACATGATCACAAGGTACTTATGCCCTGTGATCGACTAGCAAACAGTCCAGGGTGTACTCTGGGATCGGCTCCCAAACCACCCGCGACCCCGAGTGGGAAAAGTGGCACAGATGATGGATGGATGGATGAATGGACAAAGTGCTGGTGCCCTCATGTAAGGCTAAGCAGCACTCATTGAAAACATCCGTCATCCCTGGTGAGCCCCTATGCCTGACTCATGAGTTACATAACCTTCCCTTTGGCCACTTAGTTGCGACCACAACAAAAACAGCATTGCCACCTTTAACAGACCGAGGCTGTGTTGATGTGACAACACTGATACTACCTACCCTACCACATGGCCACTCCTGACCCCCAACAACTCAACCGTGTAGACTGATGGACAGCAAGAGCCAGGACAGGAAGAAAGGTAATTTAACTTAAATGCTTAAATAGTAATGATGTCTAATCAAAACAGAAAAAGAAGATTTTTTTTAATCTAATTTTCAATAAAAAGTTTGATTTTTGCCAAGTGAATAATTTCATTTGGAATCCTACAGATCTTGTTCTTGTGACACAAGGTGACATGTTGTTTTGTCACAGACTGCATGAATATCACATCATGAATTTAGAGGAAATAAACATTATGATGCCAAAGTGATCACTGCCACTTTTCTTCACACATTTAGAAACTGTCAAATCTGTCAAAGTCATCTCACAGTGGTTCTTTATCCTGGTTAAACAGCCCTGTTAGGGACAATATGTAAAACATGTTCTCCTCAAAAAGACAGAAAAGACTAACCTCCAAGTCTCTTTAAAATAGATCACACAGAAGAGGCTGACAGGTTTTCCAGTACCTTGTTTTTGGCGCACGCCTTCCCTTGCTGGTACTCTTGGTGAACTGCTCTTTTGTCCAGCTTCTTCCACAGGTCTTTGGCCTTCCAGTAGTTCAGTCGTTCCTTTAACTTGCTGTAAAAGCTCTTGAAGTCTTTAGGGTTGATGTCCAGCTGCTTGCAGAGCTCCGCAAAGTGCTGCTTCACATCCTTACAGGTCTGCGCCTGCATGAAGAGGTCAAAGGTGGCGTGTGAAGGGTTGACCGGGTCCTGGCTCGCCATGCTGGAGGATGATGATGGAGGAGCCGGTGTTCTGGTCACTGGGTTTGCTGGTTATCTGTGAAGGAAGAGGTTATATCATGAGCTTCCTACCTGGAAATAACTTGGCTCTGGCGAGAGGTTTACTGCAAATGATCAAAGGGTTACAGAGTCCTGGTAGTGGTCTCCTTCCCTCTGTGCCAGACAAACGCTCCTCCTCAAGTTCTGCTAATTATAGACAAGATGTTTATTTATCTGTCACCTGGGCGGCTGAGTCATTACTTACTTCCTCACTGTGGTTTCTGTGGTCGTCTTTTTTTTTCCTCCTTTCTTTACAATTGCACAGCTCTGCAGCCCGCCCACAGCTCATGTGTCACTCTCATGCCGCCTCAGGACGTGTACTTGTCATTAGTTTCAGTACGAAAGAGCACACAGATAAATAGAAACATACGGCGGAGACACAAAGGGGGGAATCCAACTTTTTCCATGTCTCTGGGCTGGAATGACTACTGTGTGTTTATCACCTCCACTTAACAAGAAAAACTACCTGGGGCCTGGTGATATAGTGGAATAATAACATCAGATATTAACAAAAATGTTTTTTGCTCTGTTGATGTTTCACTATGTATGAGGGGTAGAATAATAATATTGCATAATATATTTGTCCTGTCTTGTGTGATACAATTATCAAATCAGGATTATTATCTATACTTAAGTTATTTTTTTCCCTAAATGTTGCAATCCAAACAGATTTCCCTGAAAATGTAACTCATCCCGCCAGTGCTTCATGACTCCACGATGTCACTTATGACATGAATGAGGGCAATGTGAAAGAAATGTGCCAGAGAAGCAGCTGACAGCGGGATAGAAGAAGAAGAAGAAGAAAGCTGAGATAAGAAATGAAAGGCTGAAGCATCATAACAGATGAGACTGACACCAAATGTGTTTGATGTTTTGATTATTATTTGAATGTAATGCAACTTCAAGATTTTGCAGAATCGCTGTATCGTGATATAATTATCTTAGGCCATGTTTCGCTTATCTGCTATCATATTGTATCGTGAGTAACCATGTGATTCCCACCCCTAGTACACTATGTATTTCAAAGTAACTAAACACTGTTTTGTGTACGACCGAACACACACATTGAAGTCCACCTGAAAGTTATTTTCACAAGCTGTTCTGAAATCTGAAAATATGCTGAATATGTCCCTTACTATAATTTGATCCATAAAGCATCAAAGACAGATGATCGAAATATTTGGCAACAGACTTGCGGTCATGTTGAGCGCCCCCTTGTACTGTACAGAGGCTAAAGTCGTCGTTGCAGCGGTCGCGCAATCTGACCTCGGCCCTTTGCTCCATGTCATCTCCCCCACTCTCTCCTCCCATCATTTTCTGTCTCTCTTCAGCTGTCCTCTCCAATAAAAGACAAACAAGACCCCAAAATAATTTGGGTAAAAATTCAGCTCATCACTCAAATTTTCACCCTGCTGTATCAACATTTACTAAAGGTGAGTTGTTTTAAAAAAACACAATGGCACCAGAGGCAGAATGCTAATCTTACATGTCAACATAGAAGTCAAACAGTAAAAGCACAGACTTACAGTACAGGCCACAGAGACTGTTTCACACTTCAGCAGAACAACAGTAAGCTGCGTGACATTTCCTGTAACTAACATGCACGCATCACTTCCTGATGATAAGGTTTACTTCACAGCACCTCCTCTCGGCTGCTAATTCTGCAGCCCCTTGTGCACCACCTGAGTCACACACACAGGCTGTAATTAAAGCCAGAGATCTCCACAACATGTGTGTGCAGGACTCTACATGACTGTGTGGGTTTGAGTCTCAACCTGATGGAAAGTGTATCACCAACATGACTCCATCACATTTTACCATTTACTGTTTGAAGATATTCACAAAAAAAAACCATCATGATGATGCAACTTTTGAGAAAACGTATCAAGGAGCTAAAAGACCTTCTTGTTTTTTTATTTCCTGCCATTTTTTCTCTGTAACACATGGTGTCAATCGCTCAAACAAGCTTCTACCAGCAATAAATCCAAATGCAAACAAGTATGGCGGTGTTTGATAAGCCTGCTTAGATCCAAAATAAGCTTTAATGCAACTGATATTTCTGCTGTTCGGAGGAAAGATTACATTAAAATCCATGTAATTTGCAATTTTTCCTTTGTTTCTCTATTCGTTTGCAGCGTGGAACCTACAAGCGAAAGTCACCTTGACATGCACAATCTGGCAGTGTTACCTTTGGTCCGAAATGATTAAATCAAGATTGCATGGTGGTAAAAGTCTCCTGTTACTGCAGGCTGCAAAATGGAGCCAGTTTCCTTCCAGAGAAACAAACGTTTACCAAGAAAAAGAAACGGCCTGCAGAGACAAGAAAACCTGTCAAAACTAAAAATAACTCAAAAGAATCATCTTGAAACTTTGATCTTATTCACAAAAGGCAGCTTTATTTATACTCTGTGCTTTTTTTTCTTTTTTTTTAACCAGTCTAAGACATGTACAGTTTTACTAGAAGAAAGCTCAAACTAGTCTCCTTCTTGTGACTCTGCTAAATATAGTTAGAGAAGGGGTCATGCTGAATAAAGTGTCATCTGTGGCAAAGGTAGAAAGAAACACACACACACACACCGACACACACAGTCACAAGCATCTGACTCGTGTTAAGCAATTCAAACAGAACAGGCGAGTGTAAGCAGGAATGCGGCGAACAAGATCAGACAGATGCAACCTGGGTATCAAGGTGAATTGACCTGATTCCCCTCAGACTCAGTGGATTGGATTGACCCACCTTATTACATGTGTAAGCTCCACCGCGCTGTGTGTGACAACACTGTGAGTATCAGGGTGATGGATCAGGATCTGATCTGCAGTCTGGCAGGGAGAGAGAAAACAGATGGGAGAATGAAGAGAAAGGGGTGTCATTCATTTCCTGGACTGGAGGTTTAAAACAGAGAGGGTCCGGGGGGCGGGGGGGTTTCAGTGAGGCATTAAACATGTAACCTTTAACATGTGTTTGTTCACAACAATATGAAGCTGATAAATGAACGGAAAGGTGTGACTCTGAATGGTACTATTCAAACACGTTGTGCAAACAGACAGATTTAAAAAGAACAGATGCTACAGTGTGAGAGCTAACATGTGTGGACATAGAAAACATCACATACAGTACATACACATCCATACAAGGAGGTTAATGACTACAACACATCAATTTGTTTGTGTATTTAACAGTAAAATGAGCTGAAAAACGACACTGACATCACTAAGCTGTATTATTCATCGATTAAAAAAAAACCCTTTTAAAACTTAAAAGATTACTTACATCATATCAAAAGAGCGTCCCGCACAATGACAATCACAGCGACGTTACAAATGTATCTCCTGTGAACGATGACGACTCACTGAAGTTTCATTACCGGCTCTGAAGTCGCGTCTGAAGCGGGAATCTGAGAAACTGCGTCCCCTGTGTCGTTTCCATGTTTTGTTTGTCTTGTGTTTACAGGTAAAAGAGTGCACGTTGGCTCACCTGCCACTGGCGCTCATACAGGACGAGCAGAGAGCCTCATCCGGGACTTCCTGATAACAGCTGAATAGGCTAGTCAGCGCGAGCACCGTGCGCACGTGACGACAGGACCTGAAAGGGCGTGTGTGTGTGTGCGTGCGTGTGTGTGTGCGTGTGTGCGTGTGCGTGCGTGTGTGTGTGTGTGTGTGTGTGTGTGTGTGTGTGTGTGTAAAGGCTGTCCCGAGGGCATCATGCAGGAATAATTGACATTCAGTTGTCAATAACGTCGTTAAGATAACGATAATGATCATTTTAATTTACATTTAAAAGTTTTGTTTTTTTTCCCAAAGTGATCTGCTCGCCGTCTTTTGTTGATGATCTTTACTTCCTGATTGTTGCCGTGGTCCACAAAATCCCCGCTGCTCCATGTTGATCACAGGCTGAAATATTATAATAATAATAATGATTTAAGCTGAAACATCAGATGACTTTTCAATGATTTAATTCACATAGAATTGTTTAGATTTACGTATTAATGGTGCACTTCCTTCATCAAGCAAAACTGACAAATATTTCTGTGGTTCAAGCTTCTTAATTTAAGAAGGGTGGGGGGTATTAGTCAGGACTTTGTGATTTTGCTAAAAAAAAATATATATATTAAATGACAACAAAGGTTCAGAGGGAGTCATTTAAAAAAATCAATCAATGTATATATCGTGGCCAGTGGCGATCTTAGAGTATGATGGGGCCCTAGGCAAAAATGAGTTGGGGGGCACCTCTCCCCTAAAGATGAATAATTCTACTTCCTTTTTCTTTGTTGACTTTCTTTGAAAATGTTTAGTTTTCACAGCAACGCTGAGCAGGCCAACAAGAGTGAGTGCTGTCAGATGGGGCCCTTGTAGGGAGGTTTCCTACTGGCACTGCAAAATTTGAACATTTTAAGCCGCTGCTTTGGTTTAAGTTTGTCAGCCCTCAGAGGCCTCCACACCTGTCAGGGGCCCCAAGCAGTTGCCTGCCTTGCCAGTTGACAAGCAGCGCCTCTGATCCTCAGTATTGTCATTTGTATCGATTCAGGGGTCATGTGGGAAATCCCCAGCCCCGTCGGCCTGCCCTAACTTTCCACTTGTTCCTGCAGAGTTTTTGTGGTTTTATTTAACAACATTCATCAGACTGTGGGAAATATCTCCTAAACATTCACAACCTCGGAGGAGGGGGGGGGGCACCTCACAAATCTACATAATAACAGTAACAGGAAGGCTTTTCTATGTGATGTGACCTTTCATCATTGTTTCATTATTGAGCCATAAAGCTCTTCCTGTAAATTCAGTTCTTTAAAAAAAAAAAAGAACATACACATGGCAATATACAAATTTTATTCAAATGCACTTTCAAACAATATTCAGTAGGATTTTACAAAGAGTAATTTATATGAAAAGTCCCATTGAATACAGTAGAAAAGAGTAAATATACTGTATGAATATCACAGATTTGAAAAAATATATGCATAGCCAGAAAGAAGACCCAAAGTATCCCCAGAAGAAATGTCCTCTGCTTTTAAGCAAGGCTGCATACACACACTTTGACCTTTTTTGTGCAACTTTTTCTTATTTTTTGCTCAAATGAGACGAGACAATGCCAGACAACCAAAGTACAACCACACAGGTGAATGCATTCATCGTGGAGTAACCCATGTCCACAGGACATCGATGCTCCACAGATGTCAAACGTCTTCTATTCATCGCTCTCAAATCGTCTTCTGCACAGAGTTACTTAACCACGATCAGCCGTGCTTTATGAAACAGACGCTGGAAGTGCACACCATGTTGATCATGTGATTGATAACTGATTTCCTGCTTATGTCCAAGCCTCTGAAGCAGCATTGAGGAGCTTTGAATGTTATCAAGCTGTAAACATTTTGTGGTTCTGATTGATTTATGAGGAGGAGTAACGCTGGTGGATGATCAGAATCTGGCACGACAGGACTGGCTCCAAATGAATGTGACTCATGGGGAGGGGGGAATACGGAGCAGTGCTGTCACTCACTTTGAAAATGTACAACCAAGTTTAAGTTTCACAGAAATACGTGCACAGAGAAACATACTCGTAGTTTAAAAGTGTTTCTGTAATATGCATTGAGATCATCATTGTCGGATGTTATTTAACCCATGAAAAGTACCATAAACATTAAAGATTGCATGACGATGGTGAAAGAAAAATAAACACTTGGGTTATTTTCAAAAGGAATAAATTATAAACATGATATATACAATAACATATAAGCATGAAGGATATTTACAATTACGTTTCAAGATGCCAATTTTAATTGCTATATATGCAGTTTTCTGGGAAGGGTTTCTGCCCCCTACTGGCTGGAGGAAGGCATAACCATAAGCATCATTTATGTATAATCTTCACTGAGAACAGAAACATTTCCAGTGTCTGATTGTGCCCCAAAAATAGAAACACCTCAACTAATTAAAACAGAAGAAACTGAAAAAAGAAAAAAGGGAGATTCACCTGATTTTAATTCAAATCTTTGAAAATAATCAGCATCTTGAAGCCGCGCTGGTGAGCCAGTTGGTTCTGTACACACAGGTGCAGGATCTCAAAACAGTGGGAGAAGAACCTCTGCTTACAAAAACGCATTGTAAGAAAAGTCCAGAGTAGTAAAATACACTTTTACACAGCAGTAGAAGAAGAGAGTACAAAAAGAGATTCTCGTATTGGCACAAAAGTCCTTGCAGCAGAAGTCGTCTCCAATCCTGAGAGGAGCGTTAGTGATCAGTAGCCTTTTGTTTTTGTAGGAAAAGTCACGAATAGAAAATAGAGAGACAGCCTCTTCTCTTCTTTGTGTCGAGCTGTATGTTGGTCACAGCGATAAAACTGATTAATCCAAATGGGGCCTGCAAGACTACACACACACTCTGATGTTAGTCGCAAAAAAAAAAAAGAGAAAAGGGCTCACAGCAGGGGAAAGAAGACTTAACGTTGCACAAGAGGAGGCATGGTTATAAAAAAAGGTTAAGCTCACCTGAAAATATTCCAGTTGATCCAGGTTTTAGGGAAAGAGAGAGAGAGAAAAAAAAAAGAGACGACCACAACATTTTCTGGAAAATCATTGTGTGCATCCAAAATCGTCTCAAGTGGCAAAAAAATGGAAGACGGACTGAGCATGTGTGTATCCCAAAGAACGTAAAGGAAAAAAAAAAAAAAGAAGAAGACATCCTGCAGGAAAAAATAAAGTCCCAAAATCATTCTCCCAAATTTCACCGTCCTTTATGTCATAGTCTCGTTTTATTTGCAGCATTGAAGCTGGCACATTACAGGATACAGTCAGGTGAACAACACAGTATGAGTGCATGGGGGTGTATATATAATTAAGGGCGCCTTTTTTAACACGAGGAAGGTAGAAAAACCTGCTTGGCTGTGTCGGGAGTTGGTCTGACGCACAGAATAACAAAGTACAGTACGATAAAGTCAAAATAATAATACCACATTGATCGGCCCCTCAGAGGGGGAGGTGTGACTTTGGAGAGTGGAAGGATTGAAAGTTGCTGATTGGTTTGATGTCCCGCTGACACTTGTGAATGTCAGAGAGTTATTGATTGTACCCAGAATGCAGTCGGCTTTACTGTACACACACAAACCCTCACGCACGCACGCACGCACGCACGCACGCACGCACGCACGCACGCACACACACACACACACACACACACATGCACTGCAACATGCTCAGTTTTGCACATGCACTGACAACATGCATGTGTGTTTCCCACAGTCGAGTCGGGGGGGGGGGGTTACAGGTTCTCTCCCGGCTGGTACTGGGGCTCTGTGGAGGTGAAGTAATCCTCCAGGAAGCCCTGCAGGTACTCGAAGGTGGGCCTCTCCTCGGGCTCTTTCCTCCAGCAGGTCAGCATCAGATCGTGCATGGACTCGGGGCACTCGGCTGGGCACGGCATCCTGTAGCCACGCTCCACCTGGTCCAACACCTCCCTGTTCACCATACCTGAGAGAGCAGAGGTGCAATCAAAATGTGAATCAGGTATACTTAAGATTCATTAATGATTACTCTGCTAGACTCTTGGACTTTTGGCATATGACGTCAGTATCTGAGTGTAGGTGATAAAAGCATCATTTGCCTGATTAAAGACACGCAGGTTAATGTCTAGGACTAAACAAAAATAAACAAATAAAAAGGTATAACGAGAAGATCCTCACCTGGATACGGCACTCTGCCTTTAGTGGCCAGCTCAGTCAGCAGGACGCCGAACGACCAGACATCAGATTTAATGGTGAAGCGTCCGTACAGAGCGGCCTCTGGAGCCGTCCACTTGATGGGAAACTTGGCTCCTGCAAGAGGAAACATTTATCAGCATGGTTATAATTAGATCATTGCAGCACATCACATCAGCAGCATGAATCACACCGATTTCCTGGAAGCAAACACCTTTTAACTACAGATGACACATCAAGAGGCTCACAGGAATCTGACTCTGAGCGGACAAATTGGCAAAAAGGGAGGAAAAAGAAAAATGTAAACTCTGTTATGTAAAGGTGTTTCATTTTTTTTGTCGATGCCTCCTTTAAAAAAATGAGTAAACTTGAGTCACTCTGGTGACATTTAAGAGTGGCATTTGGATAATGAGACGATAATAATGTGCTTCTACCAGTTTGAAATTAATTTTGTTTTATTGTAATATACGACAGCGTCACTTTAATTTATTCTGATTCTAACTTAAAACACAATGTCTTGTTTTGTTCAGTGTGTCCAATAATAAATCACAACGACAATGTGATGTAGCTTATAGCCTCTATTAGCAGCCGTGGACACACAGGTGAGCAGCTGAGCAGGACACACAACTCTGTCTGCATATACTGTGGACCAATCACAATCAGTCTACCTCAGCAGCCAATGGGAATGCTTGTTGGTAACTCATACAATGCAAGAAGCATACAAAAAAGGGAGAGTCCTGTGGTCTTACCTTGCCTGGCGGTGTATTCATTGTCCTCAATAAGCCGAGCCAGACCGAAGTCAGCCACTTTGCAAACCAGGTTATCTCCCACCAGGATGTTAGCAGCTCTGAGGTCTCGGTGCACGTAGTTCATCCTCTCCACGTACGCCATCCCTGAAGCAATCTGAGGGGGGGGGGAATCAAAAGCTTAGTGATTCCCATCTACATCGAAGGAAAACATCCCAGATGTCTTTTTTGACTGTAATAAAGAAATGTGGAGGTAAAGCATTTCTGCTGACCTGTGAGGCCATGTCCACCAGCTGGGGGAGGCGGAGCATCTTACCCATGTCCCCTTTCAGGAAGTCCAGTAAGCTACCTGTTAGCGGGGACAATCACTGCAGGTTAGTACAACACAGATGAGGCGATCATATAAGCTTTCATTTAGTCTATATCAAGAGCTGAGCTATTCAAATGCAGCTACAATTAAAGGAGCAGTATGTAACTCTGACCCCCTAGTGTTTAAAATGGGTACTGCAGTCCAAATTCAAAACATCGTAGAGAGCTGTCTCCCCCGCCCCCCTCCTCTCTAGAGTCGATGCTCACACAGGTCACCATGTGGTGGACCCTGAAGCTTCAGTGTTTATCCAGCTCTGCATGGGTCTGTAAACCTTTCTGTGTTCTAACCTCTCTCCATTTTTCAAAAGCATCTCCAATATTGATCCTAGTTTGAGCACGTTTCTGCTCGTGGAGCTTATTAGAAACATGCAGAGGCTTTTTAGGTCGGGTACAATCACTTCTATCTGAACCACTTCTCTTGCCCGCTTCCATCGCTGATAACTGCTCCCTGATAACTGCTCTCATATCTGACAAACAGAGGGGCGTCCAAAACGGCCGTGTCGGGGTACCTTAAAACCACCTACCTTCTCTGGTCCAAACAAATCCAGAGCATGTTTCCTTAATGTCTGATTGTAAAGTAAGGTCAGTTTATGATTCAACTCAGAAGATATCTTACATATTGGACCGTTAAGTGAACTTAAAACAGACAAGATAAAATCAATAAGTCTTCTCTATTCATGTGAAAGTGTGGCCCCACGCTGACCTTGTCCCATGTACTCTGTGACGATGTAGATGGGCTCCTCGGACACCACGGCGTAGAGCTGAACCAGCTTCTCGTGTCTCAGCTTCTTCATGACCTGAGCCTCCTGGAGGAACGCTTCGGGGGACATCGTGCCGGGCTTCAGGGTCTTTATCGCCACTCGCGTTGTACCGTTCCATGTTCCTGATGGAAAAAAAATGGAGCAATGAAAGTCATCTAAGAACTGATGGGTCAACACTCAGACAATCCTCAACAGTAAAGAGACAACTTGAACCAAATCAAGAAAAAAACTGCTACGCATGGATTAACGGCGGTGTTCTGTTAAGATCTGCTTCCTTGTCAAATAATGCTACCATAGTGTGAAACAGTAGCAGATTCTATCCATATTACCTACTACCAGAACAAAATAAGATATCAATTTACTACATTTGCACTGTGAGGAAACAGAAAAGCATGATTTGATACTCTAAAACCTTTATTCCATCTACTGCACACAGCTGCACGGTAGCACAATTTGTTAGAACACCGGCGACAATGTTTTTCAGTTGAATGAATAAAAACCTCAAGAATAAAATCCACCTCTATATTTGTACATTAAATGGCAATAATCTGATAAAAGAACAGCTAAAAATGGTCGCAGCCAGCAAAACAACAGCGCGCCGTATACCAGCTGAGGTTATTTTCTTTTTATGCTAACTGACTCGGAGCGTTAATGTGTTCTGACAAGGACATTGAATTACAGCATTTATCCTACAGCTACAGCAACAAAAGCCCAGAAGAGAAAAGCAGAGGAGATCCAGTGCACTTTAGAATACATTGATTTTTTACGAGTAGGAGAGAATAGATCTTCTTTAAGCACTTTGGTGGTGCGGTAGTTTGTTCCCTTTTTCTGGGAGAGTGGACACTTATTAAAAAAAATGTCTCCCCACAGAAAAACACAATACAAGCTGAAGCACTTTGTTTTGTGTTGTTTTTTTGAAGAAATCACAGCTTACCCATCCAAACCTCTCCAAAGCAACCCTGTCCAAGCTTGAGGTCCAGACGGAGGGACTCCCTGGGGATCTCCCAGGCGTCCTTGGCTAAGCCCTGAGTCTGCGGCTTCAGTACGGGACAGATGTCTGACAGATTGTGACAGAGGCCGTCAGCGTGTTCTGAGGAAGAAGAAGAAGATTCAGGAGGAGTCCAGTTTCCTCTCCTGGTCACAGAATAAACTCCTGACTTTACAAGAGACAAGATGTAAGTTTGTGAACGAACTCACTGCGGTAGTGGTTGACGAGCTGCTGCAGGTTGCTGAACTGTGTGCGCGATGTGATGTAAAAGCCTCCGCTGTCCAGCTTCCTGATCTTGTAGTGCTTCACATTCAGCCCTTTGGTGTTGTCATAGTCCAGCACAGACAGACAGTAGGCACCTGGGAGGAAGAACATATGATAATACATGATGTGGAGGAATCAACAAGCTCTGACCTTATGGTCTGATTTCCTTTCAGATGGTCTGGATTTCCCACATGATGCTCTCTAATATTTATTCACTGTGTTGTGTTTCATGTTTTATGCCCCTTCATGTGTGTTGTTGATGTTTTTTTGTATTATTCATATTTTTTTAGATTTATTATTTTGGGCTTTTAACGCCTTTCTTGTGGAGGACAGAACAGTGGATAGATTAGGAAATTGGGAGGACAGAGCTGGGACTGACATTCGGTCAAGGTTTGAGTCGAACCCAGACGCCCTGCTTGAAGCTTCTTCAGATGGTCCCAGTTTCAGAGTTGTTAAAGGGATACTTCACCCATTTGCATTGAATCTTTGTATCATTAGAAACCTGGTAGTATTTTTGAATTGTCGTGCTTCCCGCCCTCATTCCCCCTGAGATGGGAAATCTTTGTATTTCTGAGTCTGAAAAGGAGCTTCCAGTGACGCAAAAATCGTCATTTTGCGTCATCGGAAGCTGTTGCGGTCAGCGGGGTGAAACTACAACGCTAGTTCTTCGACTACTGAAGCTACAGACCAATCACAGATCAGTGGGTGGGAACTCACGCCCAGAATCTAAACCTAACATCCGCCATATTGCTTGGAAGCTATGCTAACGACAGGCCGGTCTTGTGTCTTGGCCGCTGGCCGCCGGTGCAGCTCGCCGCCAGGAACTTCCAAGATCAATTCTGGAAGAAATCTCTGAATCAGTTGTGTAAAACAGCCTTATGTGTTGAAGTAAATATGTCTGTAAACCTGACCTTAGTGGGAGTGGCCTGCAGTGCTGTGCATTCTGAGATTTGGTGTCTTTCATCCACATGAGCCAAAAAGACACTTTCTGCCTTTTCTCAGTCAAGAAGGCACCAACTTCAAAATGTATTTCACATTTCTACATATATGACCCAATGTCAGTACAGATTCATGTTTCAACGGGTGAAGTATCCCTTTAAGTCGTTCTTACGAGTTCATTGTGGTAACGTGCTTTCAATTCAGAAAGTCGGAATATATGCTACGAAGAAGACGTGAGGAATGTCTCTGTTACAAGTTATATTTGAGCTAAAAGCTGATGTGCAACGCGTGAATTTAAAAAAAAGTGTCTTAACATTAACAAAACATCTTTTGCCTCCTATGTGAGGACGAAAACGATGTCAAGATGGCAAGGCCAACTAGGGACAAGAGTTGGCAGAATCAGCAATAGCTATAAACTCTCTGTTTCATGCTCTGTATTGAAACAATGTTAAATTGCATTGTCCCTATTAAATAAAGACATTCAAAAAGTCGGACACCTATTGCATGCGTTTTACATTTTGCATTTTATGTGTGTGTGTGTGTGTGTGTGTGTGTGTGTGTGTGTGTGTGTGTGTGTGTGTGTGTGTGTGTGTGTGTGTGGGGGGGGAAGCTTAGTTTTGGTTTGAGAGGCTGGTGCTTAAGTGAGACGTCTGCTGGACATCTACTCTGAAAATTGTGTATTAAACTTAAATTTATTTGCTGCTTAATTACTTTTTAAGAGATCTTCTATTTGATTGTTTTTACTCTAATGACTTCTTATCCTCTTTTACTTCATTCTTCAAAATGTATCACTACGTTTGCTTTTTGTAACTTCATGTCATTCGTTTTTCGGCCTTAGGATAATTTAATGGAGGCGATGTGCTCATCACACCACCAGAGGGCAGTGTCAGCTAGGTAAAATAACTCGTGTGAGTGAATCACAGAGCGGCCCCAAGGCGATGCCTCCCTCCTTCTCCAAATGTTTGAACTGATTCAGCCGGTGGTGTTGCAGTCTCAGCTCCACACTGACCTAATTCTGTCGGGCTCACCCACCCGGTACCTCTCCTCCTCTCCTGCTCACTCATCTCCTCACTTTCCCACCCTTCCCTCCCTACCTTATCCATCTTTCTTATTCTAGTCAGAGGGTGCAAACACATCCGATCACAGGAAGCAACGTGAGTCCTGTACTGTACACACACGCTGTATTCCCCGGGGGACTGCTGCGTTGCTGCAGGAGCCTCAGAGCAGCTGACAATCAGAACGATCTCCAGAGTCCCACAGGCACCACCACATCCAACCTTTTTTTCTCATCCGCCTGATTCGTCTCTCTTCTGTACCCACGATGCACCACGGCTGACATGACGCAGCGGGGCGCTCTGAGAACAGCAGGGTGTCATGTCTGACTGCTGGGGAAAAAATTGACTTTCTTCCTCTCTGCATTTTAGTTAGACATCACAGAATTCAAACTAACTTAAGTTGGTGTTGAGATTTAAATATTTTACTAGCTCATGAAAAATGAACACCAAGAAGCCTCTTGAAAACAAAAAAACCACATGTGAAAAAATCCTAATAATCAATAGTAGAAAAATAAAAGTTGCAGCCTGAATGTTTTTCACACGAGATCAGTGTAAGATTGTTGATCGTTAGCTCCCACAGAATAATTAGGACTACCTCCCCAGGTCCATGAAGTTCTCTCTTTTACTAACTTTCTTAAAAAAAAAGATCGACTTCAGTCTGCTCTCTGAGGCCAGGAAAACCTCTGGGCTGTCGTTCAAGGATACAAAAAGTCATTAAAAACCCTTTTAGCATATTTAGACTGCTAAACAGGGCCAGATTAATCACAATTATCTGATACAGGTGCAAAATGTTATCTGTGTTCTGGTAAAATATCAAACTGTGAGTAATTATAATGAACAAAGTTATGCTGCAGCAGCTGAGGGAGTGAATCCCAGCTCGACCATTCACTTTCTCCTCCCAACATCTCCTGTCTCTCTTCAGCTCACCTAACCAATGAAGACAAAAAATGTCACCCGCCAAAAAAAAATCAAAACAAATATGGACAATTTAAATCGATTCTCTGACACTTCATGTTGCTCATGATGTTTTTTGAGAATGCATCTTGTCTCAAAGTGGGAGTTGGAAGTGAGGTGAGCAGAAAAACTGACAGAAACAGAGTGAAAATAATGAAAGCGAATGATGAATGAAACAAACAGCACAACCAACATGATGCAACATGTACACCGACGCCTTGCTGCAGAGGTGAACACACCACTGGAGACTCGTCACGCCTCGTGACTGAAATGTTTAGTGAATCCCATGCTGTGATACGTGTTGTTTTTTCACCCCTACCTGTTGATAATATCATGTGATAGTCATTTTCATCATGTGTTGAAGACTTTGGATGGTCAGTGTTTTGCGGTTGTTTTTTTTGGGTCAGGACTCTGAATTTAGTGGTCTGATACCCTCCCCTCTTGAGCAAAGTGGCAGATTAAATGATGAGTCAGCGTCTTGCACACTTACCTTTGGTGGTCTCGCTCTCTCGTACCAGGAAAGTCCCTCTCCTGTTCTCTAAACTGAGCAGCAGCCTCTCTGAGTCACGACGAGTGATTTTCCCAAAGTACCACCTGATGAGGTCGATGAGGAGGGGGGGGGGGGGCAGAGGGGCAGGTTGGTGAGGGGAAAAAGATGTGTGGGTGGAAGAAAAGGAGCGAGAGTGAGTCGTAGTGAAACTCTTTGTGTAATCGTCTTTGCATTCCAGATGTGGAGCGTGCTCATGCCTTCAGCGCAAACAGCTGCTTACCTGGACTCCAGAGTCAGTCTGACATGACTGGAGGGGCAGGAAGCAAAAAAGTGAGAAATGGAGTCGTTATTGAAGGGTTAGTTTGTGAGGCTTGAATGTATACGCAAAGCAGGTTAGCATCATGTTAAGATTAGCAGTGCAACAGAAACCAGCAAATACACTACAGACACTTCAAGGAATAATTCAACATTCAAACTTTGCTTTCTGCCTGAGATCTGGATGTGAATAAAGATATTGTTTTCACGTCTGTGCAGTAAATTTAAATCTACAGCAAGCACTGGCTTAGCCTAGCTTAGCTTAGCATAGCAGAAAGACTGGAAACAGATGGAAACAGCTAGCCTACTGTCCACAAAGAATGGTTTAGTGACAGCCTGAAGATTCACCAATCGAGGCTGCTCACATTGGTTGATTTAATTTGTGTAAAACGTATCTGGAGCATGACATATAAACCCTTTTAAATTATCAAATGTATGCTTTGTTTTTGTTTGATACATAAACCCGATAAGGTGATATAATTTGGTGAGTTTAAGATGTTTAGGTAGGCTGTTTTTGTTACCGTTGACCAGATGGTAGGCTAGCGGTCTCCTCCTGCTTACGGTGTATACGCTAAGCTAAGCTAAGCTAAGATAACTGGCTGCAGCTTCTACAGACGGTACAAAAGAATTGGACCTTGTTTTCGCTCTTAAAAATGAAGTTTCAACTGAAGTGTCTCAAACTAGCATTCTTTGTAATGACCAGAGGTGATTAAGTCTGAAAAAATACTTTTTTTGGTAACATTTTCTTAATCCCTTGAGGATTTTAATTGCTCTATCATTAAAACATTGAGTTAATTTTGTAAACTATGGTCCCGTTTGTTTGTCTCTATGCTGACGCTACACAAAAAAAAATTGATTGATTGAGAGTAAAATAGACCATAAAAGATGGTATGAATCACAGCTTCAGTCCAAAGCCAGTCAGTGACATATCTTCCTTTCACAGCTTTATATTTACAGAGAGTCATGTTGACCTTCTCACCCAACCCTCAGAAAGAAAGCGATAAACTGTTCCTTTGAAAGCTCATTTCCACTTCACATCGAGATAAAAAAAAAAAAGCACAGAAATTCCTGAGAGTGCATCATTTGAGTGTTAATTCTTTCACGCTCTGGATGAAAGGGAAGATAGATACAAGAGACAAGAAGGAGAAAGAAAAAAGAAAAATAAACTTTACTCTTCTGCCTGGATGGAGTCGGATGGAGCCACATAATTGCTGGGGATGTAACCGCTCTCTCCGGTGGTCAGGGAGCGGGCCAGCCACCAGTCCCCTTCTCTGCACAGATGAAACGATAACACACGGCTTCAGCGAGGCTCATCCCACATTCAGAGCACAAATAACACCGTGTCCGTGACTTCAATCGGCTGCTGTTTATCGAGCGTCTCAGAGTGTGAATACATTCACACTGAACTTTTAGCATTCTCATAATCCAAATGTTTTTCAGTCCAGATTTAATTTTTTTTTTGCTCCTGGAGAAACTTGATAAACGACAGCCCAGGTGTTTCTGCTGTTAAACAAAAAGTACTATGCAGGAGTGTAGTAATGAACAAACATGCCTACATGTGGGTATGACAACATATTAACGGTGTACTACGAAGCAAGATTAGTGGGTCAACCAGGTAGTTTTTAATGTAAAGTCAGAGTCCTCTGTTTCACAAAGCAGGCTCTCTTTTAAAGGTCACATATTCTCCTCCTTTTCATCCAGTTTAAATAATTCTCAGAGCTCTCTTAAAACATGTGTGAAGTTTCTTGTTCTAAATCCACTCTGATCCTGTATTTGATCATGCCTATAAACCCAGCCCTGCTCAGAACAGGCTGTTTCTGTGTCTGTACCTTTAAATATACAATATGTACGCATAGACCATAGTGAAGACGAACGGGTGAAACCGACCTGAGGAAGAGAATATGTTTACAGACGTTGTATCCAAGTATAATTTACATACACATACAGCAACAGTACGGCAGCTTTCAGAAGCAGCTCATGCTTCCTTATGTTGCGGTTTTTGACTTAACATCCGGTGTTTCATCTGGCTCATCATTAAGACACGTCCCTTTACTTCTATAAAATTAACGATTTCTCTGGTTTTGATAACTGTTGGAAATATTTGAGGTAATGTAAGTGCTCAACAAAAAAGTACAACATACACTACCAGTCAAAAGTTTGGACACACAACAGTAACAGTATTATCAATAATACTATATTATTATAATATATCTACAGTAAGCTGTATCTAGGGCACAGCTACTAATAGAAGGGTTTTTCTTTATTTTTACTATTTTCCACATTTTAGAATAAGAGTTGATATTAAAACAATACAAATAAAATATTTAATTTTTGTTTTGGAAAGAAACTCTTACATACGTAGGCGTCAACTTCACTATTTATATTTATATGAGAAACACATGTCAAACATTCATGCATAAGCCTTCAGATGAAAATGTCTTCAAGATAATATCATGCATTTCAAACAGGTGTGTCCAAACATTTGACTGACATTTTAAATTATTTCAGATATTTGAATGTAAAAATTGTCATAAAATTCTACATATTGTACGTTTAACCCCACCAAAGAGGCACTGAAGAGTTGATAATCATCACATTGTTTTATTCAATCTGGGGTTTCTGATCTTGCTTCGTCGTACACCTGTCCGGGGGGAGATGTAGCTCGTATGCTACACTTTATCAGCTCTGCAGCACTAGATCTACTCAGAGAATATCAAGTTCAATCAAAGGGTTTTTACATGAATAACCTCGAGTCTGAATTAACTGTAGTGCTGCAAGGCTTCACACCAGTTTCCCTTCGACTACTGTACTCAGTGTTCATGGGGCATGACGGGCAGAAGTGTGTGCTTTGTGCAATCCTACTGAGGTGGAATCACAGTGCAAAAGTACTTAATATGCTTCAGGTGATACAAACACACAGGCGGATACACGGCACAATCAAATACTAGTCCAGAAGAGCTTCACAAACCTGCAGTTCACCTTCCTCCTGTAAACAAACAATGTGATGGAGAAATGGAAAAGAGAGATGAAAGAGAGGGAAAGAGAGGGGGTTAAAGAAACACAGAGTTATGAGCAATAGAAGAACAGCAGAGACACAGAGCAGACTCAAAATATCACAAATAAAGTGAATATATGCCAAAGTCAGAGAATCTACAATATTTAAACTGTTGCATAACTTTGAGAGAAAGGACGAGAGAATTCATCAGAAAAAATAAAAATCAGGTCATTGTGATTGTCTATATGTTTAAGTGGACCAATCAGGAAGCTTGGATGAGAGTCACTGACACTTCATTTGACTCTGAATAACCGGTAATAATCTTTGGAGATGGTTAATGGATTCTCGGTGTACTTGACCCAATAATGGTTCAGGTCTTTGGCTTAGGGGGCCAGATGCACGATAATCCACTATTGTCCTCGGCTCCTGCCTTCTAGGTCAGCAGTTTGTTAGTGAGCATGCGGCACTGGGGGTGCAGCACTACAGTATATGGTTCACTGCACACTTCAATTGATTCATACAGCAAGCCCCCCCCTTTTCTTTTTTTAAAAACAAGCATGACCCCTCCTCAGTTTAAACAGGTTACATTTGGTTAAGAGTAACTGGGTCTCCAAAACTGGGCCTACTTCTCAGGAGTTAAGCGTCGGTGAGATAAATGAAGCCTGAGCAGGATGTGATCTGTCTTTTGTGAATGAAGCTAAAATTTGTGCAGAAACGTGTCGAAATGAAGCTCTGCCGAGGGGAAGCCCGTTTCTATGGTTACAGGAGGTTTTTTCAGAGAGAGACGACAAGTGACATGCATTTCAGGGAGCAGAGCAGCCAGACAACTGAGCTGAAAGTCAGACACACAGTCTGCAGGTATTACTCATCTTTACAGGCTGTGTGTGTGTGTGTGTGTGTGTGTGTGTGTGTGTGTGTGTGTGTGTGGAAAGAAAAAGGGCCAATGTAAAGAGAAAGATGCAGAACTCTCAGAGGGTTAAACTTGTAGTGTGAAGTGGTTTTAGAAATTGCATAAACATAAATAAAGAGTTATCTCATCAAACTTTTATATTAGCAAAATGATCATTTGGGGTGAAGAGTAGTGTTTCATTTTAAAGCCTTTATCCGCTCATTGTGACGATATGGACGTTCCACAATCTTGCAATACACAATAAGACCACCTAGCGTTTTTTTTTTTCCCGATCGCCAGCGTCTCTTTTTGAAAATTTCAATGAAAAATCTTTCACTTTTTCAGAAAGGCGCTGTTGACGTCACCGTCGCTCTTTTTAAAATGTCTGATATTCCCTGTACACTGAGTTGTTATTGATTTTTTTTCAGTATATCAAGTTGCACTGAGGCGAAGGTTTCCTCTGCACTGTTCTCCGGGAAAATTACCCCTCAGGATCAATTACGTTCTTATTTCTTAATATTTTAAACACACATTCTATGAGTACTTTATTGAATGTTTCAGACAGACTGAAATAAAGTACCTCAATAAAAAGCGTAATTGGACTTTTCTTGGTCAACATGAGCGCACATGTGTGTGAGAGAGACAACAGAAAATAGGTTTGTCTTACGTGTTGTTGACTATTTGAAGACGCTCCCCCTTCCTGAAAGACAGATCTGAGGCCGTCCTGGACTCATAGTCATACAACGCCACGAAGGTTGTCACACCCGCTGTTAGGAGAGAGAGTTTGGTTAAAACTGATGTAGGATTTATCTGCTCATTACTGTTGGACCAATCCGTTAATCCTTTACTCAATAAAATGTCAGAATAATGTAGAAATGTCCAAAAGCCCAAAATGAAGTTTTTTTTGTTAAATCAAAAACAAAAAAAATGTTTTTCTGAAATGTTAAATGTTAATATTAAAATTAGAAAATTCTTTGATTTAAGAAGCTAGAATCAGTATGGTAAATATGGTCCATGGACTTGATCTTGTATATATTTCTTTTCTAGTCTTCTGACTGCTCAAAGCGCTGCAGGTCACACCTTCACATTCACACACTGATGGTAGAGGCTGCTGTGTAAAGTGACCATCAGAAGTTACTAATGCCATTCAGACACATTCATACACCGACAAAGAAGCAGCAGGAGCAACTTGGGGTTAAGACTCTTGCCCAAGGTCACATTGTACATGTTGCTGCAGGAGCTGGGGAATCGAATCCCCGACCTTCCAGTGTGGAGACAATCGACTGAGCCGTTAACCGCTTCAGTTAATGTTCGACATTTTTGGTTTAGAAAATCACAAACATGATAATTTGGTAATCCATATTTTTGTCGATCATTTTTCAATTTCTTTGTACAAAGACACAAAGAAGGCATCGAGATTAAAAACATCCTTAAAAAACAAACGGCAATCTCTGGAAAACAAGCCTTCAGGCTTCAGGCTGAGTTTCTCACCTGTGAGTGAGATTCTGTTGGTGGAGGTGACACTGTTGTTGTCCACACCTCCAAACAGGGCCAGCTCCGCTTTGTTCGACGGATTCCCACCGAGACCTGCATCCACAGTCGGGCTGCGATTGGGGGTTAAGGACTGCTGATTGGAGTTGAGGTGGTGGCCGCCAGCCCCTCCCCCGGAGCTGAGGTTGCCGTCGAGGCTGCGGGTTCGCTGGCCTACATCCTTGGGTTTACTCTTGTGTCCCCCCATGGCCGAGGCCTGAAAACGCAGAGAGATAAAGAGACAGTTAGCCCTCTGATTAGATTACATTACAGAGACACATTCTCACATCAAATACTTGACGTACTTCCTAATGCCATTTTCTTTCAATGCATTACGCTGAAAAAACAAATTCCTCCTGATTGCTAACGGGAACAGATGCTGAAACCAGAGACGGAATCAGAGACCACGACTCTAAACCCGCAGAGACACAGAGTCATGTAGAACCACATGAACCGAAACTTCCCCACGGACGCTGAAGCAGCTGCCACTCCTCAAGATTCAACACAGGAATGAGATCCACTTCATCCCACTGCCACCAGCAGCACACACACTAACACACACCAGACACGTTGCACATTCCCGCGTGTCCGACACAGATGCACATGCAGAGACACGCCGCGGCAGCACGACTTATTTTGTGGTGACTTGGCCTCAGAACTAAAAAGCAAAAGGTTTACTGTCTTTGTAGCAGAGCTTAGTTAGTGAAGTGAATATTAGAGACAAACAATAGGGACGGTAATTTAAGTTATTTAAAGACACAATGGTAGGTAAAGCATCTCTAACACTAGCATGTTCACTTGCTAACTTAACATGCTATCTACAGCTAAGGCCTATTGGGGTGTCCTTCCAACCAACATTTCCACTTAATCCTTGTTAAATAGACTGGTCTCTGTTCTTCAAAGGGTTCACCTGCTAGTGCAAGCTTGTGCAAAATCACATACTTTTAGCACAGGCTACATACTGCAGTTGCTCACTGAAGTCCCCACATTGCATCATTTCAATTTAAACTTTGAGCCTCTTGCGGTGCCAGTGTAGCTCCGTCTACAGAGCCAGGGCCCCCACATGAAGAGGATAAAGTTATCCTTCGCAGGTTTGACTCTCGACCTTTGCCCATGATGCGTGTCTACCTCGCTCTCTCTCCTCCCTTCATTTCCTGTTTCCTTTGTACTATCAATAAAGGCTAAGGTATAAAAAATAAATCGGAAACAGCATCTTCCTTTTGGATCTGTTGCAGCAAAATTTGTTGTTGTGCAAAAATAGTTCCTTTGGAGAAACAAAATGGATTTTCCCGGCAGCTCAGTGGTAATGATGATGGATCATTCAGTGTGCAGAGGATTGTGGATCAAAATAGCCCCCCCAAAAAAACAAAAAGAAAACAGGCATGCTGGCTCACATACTGCAAAATAGAGATCGGATGTGGAAGAACATCCTTGTGCTTTTGGCACACTGTTTGTGACATACATACATTGGGACAAGCTAAATCTTCTTCTGACATACTAAATAGTTTGGAAGCATGAGTGATGGTGTGCTGTTCGGTGTGTTGAGTTTATCAGACGTTAAAGTGAGACGAAGAAGTCACATTTCTGACCAATAAAAAGATCTTCAAGCTGTTTTTTTTTTAAAGTGCACTCCTGAACATTTCTAGAAAATCTGAGGACCACCTCCCCCTGAAGGTGTTGCAAATTTGTTATTCACAGATGTAACGCACAGAGGGAATTTGTCACTGATGGAAAGGGGAAAGGGGATGATGTGTTTCTAAGACATGACATAAAAAAAGACACTGCAGTCATCATTTTTACAAGATATTCAAGATGGCCGGCAAAGCAGAGTCTGACGCTGAGGTGACGGTGTTTGCTTCAAATCTATTCTGTGTAACTGTAAGTATTCACAGTATCAATGAAAAAGAGGAACAGAGGATGACGCTGCTTTATTATGTGCACAATAATCAAACCTGTTACTCACTGGTTACACGATAATATAATAATCATACTGTAACTATAGCACTTTTAAAAAAACAAGTCATGAAGTGCTTTACTATTAGGAGAAGCCAAATTAAAAGTTAAAACAAATGCACAAACGTATATAAAATAACACAAATGATTAGGTAAATAAACCGGTATTTGAAATCAAAACAAGATTCCTGTTCCCAATCAAAGAACAAGCGCCCAGTGAGGAAATCCCCCAGCCCGAAAGGTGAAAACAGTCCGGAGAGTGTGCAGAGAGATGCTAGGAAGAGAACAGGGAGGGCAGAGCCAGGGCGAGAAGAGCTCGACCCCCCCAACCGGGTTAGACCGCACGCTCTACCTCATCACCCCCCTCCCGCCCACCTGTGGTGAATTCTCCTCACTTCTACCTCCTGTGTTCACATGCTGACCCACCACGACTTCACACGGAGCTTTAACTAAAGAGCTGGCAGGAAGAGGTCGATGACGCTCACACATGCAGCTCGCCAAGAAGAGTTCAGAACAGTTTCAGGAGTTTTGCCTACAGGTGAATTAGAGATGGGACCGATCTGATCTTATATCGATATCGGGTCCGATGTTGACGTAATATATGTATCAGATATCGGACTGACAGCTCCGAAAAACGTCAATGATCAAGACAGCTGGTTGGACGCTTTAAACATTCCCAACTGGCAGAGTCTCACTCTGAAGACGTTCAGACTGAACTGTAAGAAATGCCCACAAATCGTCACCATGACGACGTTGAGACGAGATGGAACAGCTCCTTTCAGGGGATGAAAAGCACAGTTCATATACTTCAGTTTATAAAGTTTTAATTTGAAAAACCAGACAGCTGAACTGCTTCCTGTTTGTACGTGACACCAGCACAATGCAATGCAATGTCGGGTTTAATACAGCTGTGTGTAGCCTTAAATGTAGTGCCAACAACAACAACAAAAACATTCTTAATTATGAAATAAAAAAATCGGAATCAGTATCGGAATCAGATCTGAACTGAAAAAAAGTGGATCGATGTATCTCTAATGTGAAGACAAAAGATTTTACTAGAGTCACTGATTGGCTCATATTAGAAGGTAAACGTATTTTACATTAACAGGTTTATTGACGACACATCATCAGAGATACAACACTGATCCATTTATGTGCTCCACATGGTTTGTAACACTTTCCAGCACATTATCTGAACATGGCTTTTTACTCTGAAGTGGTTCCAAATCTGTGATGAATCAGTGAGTTTCCAGTTATGGACGACATTCGGGATACTCTGATGAAAAAAGGTCAAAGGTGAGGATTGTTGTAGCTTTTTTATCCGTGTCTCTTCATAAAATAAATGAAGCTTCCCCCCCTCGCCCACTCCGGCTCGTGAAGTAGCTCTAATAACAGCTTAGTGTGGGGAAATAATTACACTAAGCCAAGGATCATTTGGGGGCTCAAACCCGTGCTATCATGGCTAGATATAGCTACAGGGGGTCCACTAGGAAATGCTAATTTAGACTCTAAAACAAGAAGGTGGTGGTGGCGGGGGGTCGGCCTGGGAGCCCTTCTAATGAGCAGATGAGGGTCAGAGTGCACGTGGAAGTGTCGGGGCACTCTCTGCCTTCTGCTCTCCAAGCCCTGCCGGACTGTTGCTATTTAGGAAACTGAGCATCTGTTGGATCTAACGCTGGAGTCAACTGATGCATGAGCTCACTGCCATTCACAAGCAAAGGGTTTTTTAATCCCAATCAGGGGACAAACTAGGATACACGGGCTCACGGGCACGCTCGCAGTCAGAGAGAGGCAGCGACATATGGCGGGGAAAATGTGAGGCACAAAGAAGAGAGAGCACAGTTTGCTAAAGCATGAAGAGGAAATGAGTGAAGCTCTCAGTGATTGTTGTCTGTGATTCTTTCTCATTTCTGCTTTTTTACTTTGAGAAAAAGTATGAGGAATGAGAAGCTGAAACCGCGGTGACGAGGACTCCGGGTCAGCGAGTCTAAAGCTTCATTTTGGATTCAACCTGTGGCCTGAAAGCGTCCACAGAGAGATG